AGTTCCCCGCAGCGCTGACACGAGAGGCCTTTGTCCTAACCCAGAACTCTCTCGGGGTGGAAAAATGGCTACAACTACATGGAGATGCTCCGGGAAAACCCTGAAAGCCAAAGGAACAAGCCACTACCACGTGGGGCAAACAAGTAACAGTGGAGATAAACAATTGACATACCTAGAGCTGGGGCATGAGAAATTTTGAGAAAAGGGACTTTAAAAAATTCCCATGTTTGCTGAGGAATCTAGGAAGTCAAGCGCATAGCCAGGGAAGGATGCATGCTCAGAAGAGACTTGGTAAGACCAGAAGGGTTCACCCGCTTTCACCCCTGCTGGCCTTTAGATTCTGCACAATCAGGAAGTAAAGGAAAAGGCAGAGTTGTGAATGGCCTGGCTAAGTGCTGAAGAAATGCCCCTACACGGAGCCAGCCTGCAAAGAACTACTTGCTCTGGTACATCAAGCCATATTTGAAGTGCTCAATCGCTATATGTGAATAGTGGCTACGACGTTAGGCAGCACAGGACTTCATCATCATTGTAGAAAGTTCTACTGGACAGTACTAGCACAGAGCGTTAAGAATATAGATTCTGGCCCTGACCAGAGTGTCTCACTTGGGGGTCATCCCGCAAAGCAAAAAGTTGCCGGTTCAATTCCCGGTCAGGGCACATGCCTGGCTTGGGGGTTCAGTCCCCAGTCGGGGAGCATACAAGGGGCAACCAATCAATGTTTGTGTCTCACATCAATGTTTCTCTCCCTCCCTTAAAAAAAAAAAGGAAAGAAAAAACTTTGGTCCTTTAAAAACAAAAAGAACATGAATTCTGTCACTTACTACCTTGTGTGATCTTGAAGAAGTTAATCCCTCTTTGCCTCAGTTAACTATTTCTAAAATGGAAACACAGAACCTTCCTCATGTGGTAGTTGCAAGAATTAAACAATTTAACATGAATAAACTTTTAGAAGTAATGTCTGGCACCTAATGCCTTCTACTCAACAATCTCTAATATTCATCACTTGTAAAATCTCACGAGACTTGAGTCACCCATCAGCCCTGGATCGTCTCCTTTCAGATCAGAGACACTCAGAGCCTAGTGGTGGCCTGTTCCTTGACATCTTTTACTTGATGCGGCGCCTTTGTTGCGACGTTCTTTTGGTAACGTTGTGAACTGTCTCCTTCACATACTCATCAAGGTAGATTAGACATCAAATTCTCCTTTCCTCTCTTGATTTTCTCTGCCCCCTCTGTCTCTGAGTGTCTCCTCTCTGAGTTGTTCAGATCTGCACTTGGCCTTGCTCCTTGCCACTCCATCTACAGGGGCCAATCTCAAGGCGCCCCCCACAGGGAAGGCCTCTCCGAACATCCCCCTCCTTCTTAGCTGCTGTGGGACTCTTCATTGAGAAAGTCCTTCCTCCTGCACATTGCTCACGTTTATTATTTATTCCTTAGTATTTTTTTAGCTCTTTCAGTTATGATTATGTTTCCTTTTTTCTAATTAGATATTGCTGGTCTGTAGATTTCAATGGATTTTTTAAATTTTATTTTATTTTATTTTTCTTAGATTTTATTTATTTATCTTTAGAAGGGAAGGGAAGGAGAGAGGGAGAAAAATATCAATGTATGGTTGCTTCTCATGCATCCCCTGCTGGGAACTGGCCCCTGCTGGGAACTGGCCTGCAACCCAGGCGTGTGCCCTGACTGGGAATTGAACTGCGATACTTTGGTTCACAGGCCCGTGCTCAATCCAGTGAGCTGCACCAGCCAGGGCTCAATGGATTTTTTAAAAGATTTTATTTATTTCTTTTTAGAGAGAGGAGAAGGGAGGGAGAGAAACATCCATTGGTTGCCTCTCACAGATCCCCAACTGGAGACCAGCCTGCAATCCAGGCCGGCCATCAGTCCACTGAGCCATACCAGCCAGGGCTCAGATGACATTTTTACTGTGGTAAAATATATATGAGATTTATCACGTTAACCTTTTCAAGTGCACAGTTCCCTGGCATTAGGCAAATTCACATCCAATAGACTTTTTACAATATTTATCCTTTAATCAGTTACTTTCCTGAAAACTCTTAAATGAGTCTCATGTATTTTCTTTTTTCAAATAGACATAAAATAAAAACAAGTTTGTCTCCATTCTGTTAGAAATATCTTGTTTCGCTAGGGGAAGTAGGGCAAATCTCCCCATGTCCAGTTATTACTTAGGACAGCATCCACGACCGTTCGAGAATTGGATGAGTATGGGTTCCTGTTATTTACATGTGTAAGTGACACTTTTCCGTTTAGGCCCACCCAGCCAGTGAGATCTATTCCTCTCTGAGCTGCTGCTTAGAAAACCCAAGCCTGCTGAATCAAAGCCCGATGCCAACCTCCTTCGTGTTATCAACCATATTATCAGTCTTCGTTTTTGTGAATTTCTAAGAGCAACAGATTTCTAAGAATGGGACGGACTTTATTTGCTTCTAAATGTCGTTTGCTCCTAAAGCCCTGGCATCCTTTTCCTATCTCTTATTTACCTGGAAAAACAATTCCATTTCATCCTCAAGGATCCATTTCAAGTGTCACCATCACCTTCGTAAAAATCTCTTCCTGCCTGAATGGCAAGTGCTTCAGCATCAAACCCAAACCTGCCTCCTAAGCTTTACCTTCCTTATTTGGAACAGGGTCACAGTGTGGGATAACACTGTGTTCCGAACTAAATGGTCTCTAGAAACTCCAATGCATGGCTCTTTACACACACACACACACACACACACATATAATGTATTTTTAGAGACAAGGAAAGAGAGGGTGGAAGAGAGGGAGAGAAACATCAATGTGTGGTTGCCTTCCATGCATCCCCCACTGGGAACCTCACCTGAAATTCAGGCACGTGCCCTGACTGGGAATCAAACCAGCAACCCCTTGGTTCGCAGGCCCATGCTCAATCCACTGAACTACACCAGTCAGGGCTGCATGGTTTTGGGGGGGTTCTAAATTACTATTTTGGCAATACATATGAAGCTGTGACTTGAGATCTGTCACCTAAAAATAAACATGTGGTGGGCCGTGATCTCAGAGTCCCTTCAGAGGGAACAGTGGTCCTCAGAAAATGAAATCCATCCTCCCTGAGAACTCCTAGTCTATCTTATGTTGGGTTGGTGGGAAGGAGTGTCCATTATCCATTAGGATACAGTTGGCTTTTATAAATTAAACCAGCCTTTCATTTCATGAGAGTCCAAAGAATAAAAGCTGGAGCTGGAATTTATACCTGAAGCTGCAGGGCCAGGTCTGCCCATGGTGTCACCTGCACTCATTATGAAAGGTAGGTACCCCCCCCCCCCGGCCCCTTTCCTCTTCTCTGGTTGTGCGGCAAAATGTGGTCAGGGGCTTGGTTTATGTTTGTCCAAAGGAGCTCAGAACAAAGACTGACTACAATATTCTAAGCACTATCCCATTTTGTTATGGGTGTAGGAGAGCTCCAAGGACTGGAGGGGGCCATGGTGGGATTAAGCTGGTGTTAGATCAGTTCTTGTTGTTAGGTTTGCAGTAGCCCGTTGCCAGGATTTGTGTGCTTTTTGCAGTGGTCAGACTGGGGAATTAAATGGACACATGATAGAGACCACAGCCCTGCCTCTTCTACAACTCTGAGCGGGGCTCTCTCCTGGGGCATTCCCCCCAAGGGTTCCTCTTTTGGCCAGAGAGGGTAGTCTTGGGGCGTCCGCATGGCTTTCTCTACTACAAAAGCTCATGGCTTACAAGTTAAGGAACCAATGTAAGGAACCTACTTCTGCCATCTGCTAAGTAGGACCATTTGGACGTTACCTTTGAGAACCAGGGAAATGACTAGTATGGGCCCAATGGACACACTGAGGGACCCAAAGAACTATTTGCCCCTATGAAATGTTCCTACTCCCTTAGCAAAAAGGGAGCCCTGGGGGTGCTTTATGTGACCACCCACCTCAGAAAATCTACTGTATCCCTCTAGGGCACCTTCTGCTCTTTGCTCTTGTGATTACCTGGAGTAGGAATTTGCCCTTAGCATGAAGTCAATGCTGGTAAAGACAACTGACTGCCTTTCGGTCACACAGCTTGTTAGAGGCAAAGTAAAATCTCCAAACAGCACTCATTGTGGATGAAGCTCTTGTCTGGAGGGAAAGGAGCTTCTAGGGCAAGTTTCAGCCTTCTCAGCCAAGGGCCCAAATGTTTGCAGGCACGGACTTCCTAACATCCTTTGGAATGTCTCCATTGATGCCAGTTTGCTCTAAAGTGGCACTGAACCTCTTTAGAGGAAAAGGGTCACTATGTTTGCTTTCAAGGCACCGAGGAAGGGGAAGGGGGGCATACAATTCCCTCCTCCAAAAGCCTGTTCTGGATAGGGAGTGCTAAGGGATGGTTTTGGTTTTGTTTTTTAATCCCTTTTCCGACCTGTTGAATCAGGTACTGTGTGAAAAAAGCGGCTGCAGGGGCGGTTTTTTAATAGACTGTGAAATGGAAAACGAAGTTGGAAGCCAAGCTTCTAATGTGAAGTATTAAAAAAGAAGCATTTTGAAATATCACAAAGCCCAGGTAAACATTAAGAATTTGGCTCTTTAATTCCTTCCCATTCTGTATTTAATCATCTGAGAGTCATTGGGAAAAGGCAGGCACGCGTCGTGAGTCCATTCCTACGGGCTGGCCTGTTCCTCCAAAGCTCTTCATAATGTTGAAAGGGCCACGAGGCTGAAATTCCATAACCGTTCCTCATCAGAAAGTAGGTTGTGCTGTTAATTGCGAAAGTGGGCACTGAAGTTCGGAGGTTTGAAACTCACTTCCTTAGTAGTTTTAAATAAACGCTACCATAAGATATATGCGATCTGTAGGGGGAGTCATAAGATTCTGATCTTACGACTTCAGGGAAGAGGCCCAGGGAAGAATTTCTATAAGCAGATGTAGGAATGGGCTGGCTGTTGGGTAAAGTTCGTCATGGCTGGAACACATAAAAGAGGAAAGGGAAGTGGAGCTCACTGCCAGGCGAAGCAGTTTTAGACTTTTCTGCGGGCCAAGCAAGTGGCTGCAGGCTCTGCGGAGCGGAGCTACTTGTGACCTGTTTCTGAAACCTTCATCCTGTGTTATGAAGGTTGACGGGAGTGTGTTGGGGGTGCAGATTGAGCGAATGGGCGTGGCGAGAGGAGAAAGGTCGCCTCGGGGAGCAGGGTCACGATCTCTGCCCCAGGCAGGCGGGGCGGGTGTAACTTGGTGTTAGGGATTACGCGCCGGATGCGGGAGGAAGAGGGACTCAACTCTGAGCAGGAAGAGGGCCACGTCCTTAATTAAAGCAGGAAACCCAAAAGAGAGGAGCAGGGTCTTGGGAGGGGAGAAGCAAGGACGAATCACTTCGTTCTCTGTTGGACCTCGCGGTGGAGATATCCAATAAGCAGCAGGAAGTATGGATCTGGCACTCAGGAACAAGCGCCGGTCTAGGTGCCCCCAAAGACTGGGAATGCTCGGATCCGAGATGACAGCAACGGCTCGGCCCTCTTCTTGACTCAGGTGTAATATCCTCCGCTTCCTGTAACACAATTTGTGGAGTCTGACGGCCTGCGGGCATGCCGCTGGGGGCCGGGGTGGGCGAGGGACGAACGCCGCAGTCGTAGCGGAGAAGCGCAGGAGGGAGGATTTCCCGGATTCGTGTCCGTTTTGGAGGCCCAGGCGGCCCGCCCGGCGTGCACCCGTGCGGGCCAGACCCCGGGACAGACTCAGGGGTTATCACCCGTCTGCCCTAGAGCCCCGCGGCCGCCGCCGGCCGCTCGGGGGGAAAAGACCTCAGCCGGCCCCCGGCCCGCCAATCAGCGCGGTCCTCCCGCCCTGGCGCTCCAGTGACGCGCACACCCCAGCCTACGCCCGCGGCGCTTTGGCGACGGCCCCTCCCGCTCTCGCCCGGCCCGTTAACTGCGCGCCGCGCCTCTTGTGCGACGACCCCTGGGCGGCGGCGCGTGCGGACCCAGCCTTGGCACGCCCCCTGGCGGCCTGGCGGGGCGCTGCGGACGCGTCGCTGACCCGGAGGCGGCGGCGGCGGTGCCCGGATGGAGGCACGTCATTGTCCCCCGCCGGGCGGCTGGGCTGTGTGCGGCGGCGGCGGCGGCGGCGGCGGCGGCCGAGGGGGATGGAGCGAGCGCCGAGCCGGGTCAGGTAAGCTCCCGCCTCCTTTCCGCCCGCTGCTGGCCGGCGTGGGGCCCGCAGAGCGCTCGGCTCGCCTCGGCCATATCTGGCCCAGCCGCCCCTCTGCCGGCGCGGCCCGCCGGGCGCTGGCGCGGCCCCTCGCCTGCCGTGTCCTCTGCCGCTGCGGGCCGCCCGGGACCCCGCCGCACCAGTGGCAGCGCCGCCGCCGCCGGCCGAGCCAGGCCGCTGGGGAGGGGGCGGCGGCCGCGGCTGCGGGGTGCCGGGAGAGCCGGGCGAGCCGGGCTGCGCCGGGAGGCCGGACCCCCTGGTTGCCATGGACACTGCCCTCCCACCCCCACCCGGCCCCAGTCCGCCCCCTCGGCCCGGGGGCCGGGCTCGGCGGGCGGCTCCGGGGCGGCCGGGCCCTCACAGGGCTGCCCGGGGTGGGCGTGTGCCGGCCGCGGAGCCCGGCATGCCCTGGCCGCCCACCGCCCCCCGCGTGGCTGCTGCCTCCCGCCCCCGAGCGCCCCTCAGAGCCCGGGACTCGCTTCCCCGCCCCCATTCCACCCGAAAAGAGAGAAACTTTCCCACCCCGGTGCCCCTCGGCGGGCCGCCCGCCCCACCGGTCCGCCCTCGCGGGGCCGTCCACCTGGCTCCTCCGCCGGGTGTCCGAGTCCCTCTCGCCGGCAGCCGAGCGGAGCGGGCACCTCGGGGAGGAGGGGCCGGCGGCCCGCAGCGTGTCCCCCAAAGCGTGTGTCCCCGGGTCGTGTTCTTTATCTTCGGGACAGGGAGAGCCCGCTTACCTGGAGGGGGTCGGGGAGGAGCAGATCAGTTTCAGATGTTTGAAATGAAGATTCGATGGGAACGAAGTTCTACAATGTAGGACTTTAACCTCGTTATAATGAATGCAGTCGAGATTACTTTTGTTGAATAGCTCTTTTATATTCAGGAAGGCCTCAGGGCTTGCTTGTGTGTGGGAAAATACGTTGGTTATTTTAAAGTGAATACACTAAAATAACAGCGAAAGTGGTTGGAAAACTAGTTAACGCCTCTTTTTCTAGATAACAGCAGTGTTATAGGCTCACATACATTTTTGTGGCGATTCAATATTTTTTAAGACTTGTAAATTTGAAACAGTTCTACTCTTTTGACTATATTCTTCATTCAAAGTGCGGTAGAGGATAGGACTAATCAGTTTCACTTATTTGTTTTTATTTAAGGTCAGTTTCACTTTCTTTTCCGTGTCATTGAATCAAGTCTACTCTGTTCTGTAAAGGTTTAAATTAAGGCTTAGTTGTTTTGTTGTCTTAAAAATAGCTAAAATCAAGGTTGTGCCTTCCTAAAGCTTGTCCAAGAAGGTGGATTACATTGTTTAGGAAGTAGCAGAGTGTAACAGTTTCTTTTTACACGTATTGGTACTACTCAATGTATGTGGTGTGCCCCAATGTTTAAATAGCACATACTTATGAAGAAGAAAAATGCATTCTGTCTTTTGGTAGAAATACTAAGGGGGAAGGACCGTGTAAGAGGCTAAGAGTTTTAAGACTTTTGAATAAGAGCAGAGGAAACACTGGTGAAGAGTTTGTCTCCTTCCACACACGTTCAGCCTGATTCATGTAGTAGTTGGTTTTTTTCCAACACGCTTTTGTAACTTTTTTGTATTATCACCAGGACATGTTGAGAGAAATGTTAACTTTTCACTGGAGTAGCTGCTTAGAAGTCCTGAGATTTATAACAGTGATGTTGCAACGCTTTGCTGGGAGTCAAGAACTTCTAAGGGGATGCAGCCTTGCTTCTGCACAACATTGCTTGGCTCCTAGAAGGGTTTTATCTCTGTAGCAGATGGAATTTCGTTTCATGCCTCATGGTGTTAGGGTAAGAATTCATTGGCTGAATGTACAAGTGAAGATGAATGGATGGTTTTGGTTTGTCATCCCAAAATCAAAACGCTGTACAGTTATTGGTGACTGAGTTGTAGGCATTCCTTAATTTTTTTTCCCCCACATAGGAACCCCTCCCTCCTCTCAAAACAAGCAGTTGAGTCAGTAAAATGGTTTTATTTGGTCATTTGTTAATGATTGTCCTGGAGGGATGTGTATCCGGAGAAAATCTAGGTGGTTTGTTTTTTTTTTTCTATTTAACATCATTGTAAATAGGCTACATTAACCTTCCCTTATTGCTGTTTTGGTTTTCATCCTTTTCCTCCTCCTTCCCTTCTTCCTCCTCTTTTGTTTTCTTACTCTTGTCTCCACAATGCTTCATAATTTCTTTGGACTCTTTGATGAAAAAAGTGTACATTTTATTTGGATTATAGGGCTCAAGTTTTCTTCCTGAATGAAGATCCAGTATCTTAGATTGACTTAATATTTCAGTTCAGTTTGTACTTTATCTAGTACAAACTAGATAAAGATCTAAATAGCCTTTACGCTTCTTACGTTTTTACATAAGATTCCAAAAGTTTTCTTAAGGTTATATATACTGTTTGGGGGAAGGTAATCATGCCTTAATTACAACAAAATTTTGAGGGTTAAAACAAAATCTCACTGCAAGCAGACAGTGCATTGTAACACTTGTTGAGATGGCATAGGCACGTGTGTTTACAATCCTTAGTGTACTAAATATTTTTGAAATAAGTTTTAAAGGCTATTTCTACTTCAGAATTTTTAAAGCCTTAAATAGTATATAAATCACTCAGCACAAACTGGTGCTAAAGCATAACTGGTTACTCTCCATCTCCAGAATTCAGTCATTTGTCCAACACATGTACGGGAAGCTTTCTGCATGCGAGGTCAGGGGCAAACGGGAACATATAGCAGTAATAGGTGTGAAGCGCTGCCCTATAAATCAGCACAGGGTGCTGAGGAGCCTGGGGGCGGGGGTGCAACCCAGTCCTGGGGGAGGAGGTTGTCAAGGGAAGTGTCCCAGGGGAAATGAATTGTAAACTGAGTTCTAAGAAGTGTTCACTGGCTGCAGGTGGAAGGATGGGGGAGAGTTTGGTAAAAAGGAACAGCATGTGCAGAGCCCAGAGGGAGTAGGTGGGACTGGACCTCAGCAGGTGTTTGCAGAAGTTCCTAGGTCATTGCCAAGGCTAGGTGTTGGGAGGATCTTGTGATGGGTGCGGTCAGGGCACACTTGAAAGGTTATCTACAAAGCAACATACCAGACTTGGATGCCACAGGGCAATGTAAGAAATTTTTATTTTAAAAAAAGTTAATTTTTTTAGAGGGGAAGGGAAGGAGAAAGAGGGGGGAGGAACATCAGTATGTGATTGCTTTTCACGTGCCTCCCAGTGGGGACCTGGCCTACAACCCAGACAGACATGTGCCCCGACTGAGAATCGAACCAGCAATCCTTTGGTTTATAGGCTAGCACTCAATCCACTGAGCCACACCAGCCAGGGCTCAGAAATGTCCTTAAAAGTAGTCAATTGACCAGGTTGGTATGACCAGAAGGAACCCCAGCTGGGAACATTAGACCTGATTCCTGGTCCCAGGTGCTGACTAGTTTGGATTATAATTGGTGCATTTTATTTTTATTTTTTAAAAGATTGTATTTCTTTTTAGAGAGGAAGGGAGGGAGAAAGAAAGAGGGAAACATCAACATGTGGCTGCCTGTCGCACACTGCTCACTGGGGACCCAGCTCGCAACCCAGGCACTGGTCCCTGTCTGGAAACAGAACCCACAACCCTTTCGGTTCACAGGATGGTGCTCAGTCCACTGAGCCACACCGGCCAGGCCTAGTTGGTGCATTTATAGACCCTGTGGATTCTGTCCGGTCTCTCATAGGTCCATTGTGAAAATTAAATGAGTTAATGTGTGTTCAGCGATTAATACAATGCCCAGCACATAGAAGATGTTCAATTAGTGGCAGCCCTAAGATTTTAAGACAGGATTCAGAAAATTATAATTAAGTACTTTTATAATATGTATTTATGTTCCAGTTTAATGTCAATAGTGTGTCGTGTGATTCACTTAAAAAGTCATATATACCAAATAAACACGTTTCTTCAGAAAAAATGTGCTTCAAAGGCGAGACTTCCCATACATTAAAAAATGCAAAGTATTTTCAAACAATGTCTTTTGGACTTTATGCTCAAAACTAAAGCTAGATTTTTCTCCTTGTGTAGTTGAGGCTTTTCCCTGAGGAATTATATATGGATTGAAAATTGAGTCATGTGTGTTGGTGCATTTCACATTCTGGTTTTAGGTAACAGAAAGAAAAATACATGGGCATTTGATAAATGTATACAATTGGAAATTGAGGTACCTGAGTATGAATTGAAGTATCAGAAATTTAAGACGCATGGAATAGAATGACAAAATATAATCAAATATTCCATTGGAGTTTTTATAATTAAAAATTGTTGATATGTTCAGAGTAGCACAATACTAAATGTCTCAAGGAAATGACTACAAACTGAAAATATACAGTTGCTTTTATATTTGAATGGTTCGTTTGAAAATAATTAAAAATGGCTTGAATAACTTTCCAAGGTGTAATAGTAGAATATGGAGATTGCTTTTCTAATCTTCTGAAACAAGTGCATGTTTTCTGTCTTTTGCAGAGTTGAACAATGACCATAGTTGACAAAGCTTCTGAATCTTCAGACCTGTCGTCCTATCAGAACCAGCCCGGCAGCTCTGGGGCGGTCTCACCTGGAGACATGGATGCAGGGCCTGCCAGCTGGGGTGCTGTGTCTGCATTAAACGATGTTTCAAATCACGCACTTTCTCTAGGACCAGTACCTGGTGCTGTGGTTTATTCAAGTTCATCTGTACCTGATAAATCAAAACCATCACCACAGAAGGATCAAGGTACTTTTTCACAGACAGAACCACTCCAAGAAACTCCGGTGCGAATGCTGGCAGTGGGTTGGTAGTTTGAGGGTGGCTTATTTTGCAAGAGGCGGTGCCGCCTGAGTGGCCGGCAGAGCTGTGAGTTACCTTGTGACCATCTTCGTTTTCCTCTGATGCTCGCTCGTGATTAACATGTGTTATAACAAGGTAGATTATTTGTAGTTACTATATTCATAGTTCTTTTATTTCTAATTTGTTGAAGAATAAGCTTTATCTTGGTGAGAACTGAATTGAGATGGGCAAGCATTTTGTTAACTTGTCAATTAACTATAGCTTCCTAAGTAGACATCTGTCTTTTAAAAATGTAAAGATGTTTTTAAAAATACCGTTTTTTTTCTCCTGAGTTAAACTCAACCATAGGAATAAAGGTCTTTGAAGGAGAGCAGTTAATGTCAATATTATGTTGGTTAGAACTCATCCAGATAAATAAGACATTGACTCTTTAGTTAGCACTTTTCTGAGACTTTTCGATTTGGAAGCTTTGAAATGCAAAGAAAATGGGTTAGAAAAGTTTCTACTTAGCAGCTTTCTAAGTAGAAAAGTTCCTACTTAGAACGCTGAGTGGCTGAGAATAGCTGGGCCCTTGTCCTGAGCCCTCCCTGGAAATGTGCTACTGTGGTGTGGGGCGGAGCGGCCAGATTTGGTGAAGGTGTTTTGGGCAGGGGAGGGGAGTTCACACTGAAAAACAAGCAATTTAATTGATTGTTACACATGGCGGTCGTAAGGCCTTCACCAGCAAGACTCTCGTGCAGGACATCATTTCACTGACTCCAGCTGCTGGGGCTGCCCCGCTTCACTTAGGACTTAGCTTGCAGCCCCTCAACGGAGGGCCTTTGTCCTACTGTCTGTGGCTCATTTCTCTTTCCCTGATTCTGCCCTCCACTCCCCACCGAGCCGAGGCTTACCTTTGAGCACGTATGCACTCCTTACCGTCCCTGTTAAAGTAGAGACCCGCATGTTGGGCACCGCAGTCTTCGGTAGCACCAAGGAACTGGCAGGGAACTGGCAGACTTGTGAAAAGGTAGTCTTGCTAGAGGTGATTAGGAGCCATCCTAAGTAAGTTGTTTTCTGAGCTTCGCAAGAGTTTTATGAGAATATTATCGTGAACAATTTGTTTACGGTCTAACAATTTGTTAATAGGTCTTAAAAACAGATAAAAATCTTTTTAAGACTACAGATAGAATACACAGAAGTGTGCACTGTGGTGCCCAGCAGCCCGAGTTCACAGCCTGTTGTCTCACTGGTAAAATGGGGACGACATCACGGCCAACTGTGGTGGACGGTGCGGACCCAGGGCAGGAGGTGCGGGCACCCAGGGCAGGAGGTGGGGGTGGTGGGACCGAGTGTAACCGTCCAGAGAAAATGTTACAGAGAATCGGCTCACCCTGCACTTTCTATTGATGGTAGTGGTATTTATTTTTAAATGTTATTTTCTTTAAAGCAGCTTATTTTTATTTTTTAAAGATTTTATTTATTTTTAGAGAGAGGGGACAGGAGGGAGGGAGAGAGAAACATAGATGTGCAAGAGATACACTGATTGGTTGCCTCTTGCATGCCCCCCAACTGGGGACCTAGGCCACAACCCAGGTGTGTGCCCTGACTGGGAATCAAACCGGTGACCATGCAGTTGTTTGCAGGCTCGAACTCAAATCCTCTGAGCCACACCAGCCAGGGCTATTTTTTTACATTTTTATGGTGAAAAATTTTATAGATATAAAAAATAATTATAATGAAGTCTTGTGTCCTTATCAGTCAACTTTGACATTTGTCATTCATGGCCACCTCCACCAGCTTCTTCCTCCCCTCTCCCCATCATGTAAAGAAAATCCAAGACTTCATGTTTTATCTGTAAATGTTTTAGTGTGTAGATCTAAATTCATTCTAAAAATTAAAACATTTTAATATTAAAAACGCAGTCAGTGTTAAATTTTCCCTGGTTGTCATACAGTTTTTTTAATAGCTGACTGTCGACATGAACACCCAAACGAGGTCTGCACTTTGCATTTTGTGGATTTTTTTTAAGTTTCTTTTAATTTGTAACCCCTGCCCCCATTGTCCTTGCAGTGTATTGAAGAAGCCAAATCATTCGGTCTCCCACATTTTTCTTTTTAAATTCTTCTTTATTGATTTTTTTAGGAAGGGGTAGGGGGAGAGAGAGAAACTGGTTTGCTGTTCCACCTGCGAACACATTTGCTGGTCCCGTGTGTGCCCGATGGGGGCGTGGGCCCCCGGTCCTGGCGCATCGGGATGCGATGACCCACTGGTCCAGGGCTAGAGCTCCCCACATCCCGAGGTCTGCCTTCATTGTTTTCCTTTTTTAAAAATTATTTGTATTTTTGTTTGTTTGTTTGAAGGATTTTTTGGTGTCTTCCCCCCATTTTTATTTATTTGCTTTTTTTGTTTTCTGAGTTCTGTTGTTAAAAGTGTCCCTTCCCCCTGTATTCCTCGTTAGCTCTTAATAAGGTTTAGAATCTTGAACAGATTCAGGTTCGATGTACTGGTATTTGTTTGGCTTCAAATAGCACACAAAACTTTGTTTGTAAATATTTGTTCTTTATTTTTCTAGCCCTAGGTGATGGCATTGCTCCTCCACAAAAAGTTCTTTTCCCATCTGAGAAGATTTGTCTGAAGTGGCAGCAAACGCACAGGGTCGGAGCCGGGCTCCAGAACCTGGGCAACACCTGCTTCGCCAACGCGGCGCTGCAGTGCTTGACCTACACGCCCCCACTCGCCAATTACATGCTATCGCACGAGCACTCCAAGACATGTAAGTGTTCTGTGTTCCGTGTGCAGGGCTGTGGTACACTAACCTACCGGCATGTTTTCTCCTCTGAAATGAAAGTGAGGAATGAAGCCAAGAATTCTGTGATCCCTAAGAGGTTGACTTATTCTTTCAGAAACCGGCCAGGGAGTCTCTCTCAGGATTTGTGTTCAGGGTGTATATGAAGCATTGTGCACCTAATTTCACCTGTGATGTTATTTAAAAAGCAGCATTTTATCAGCGTTTGGCATTTCTGAACTCTCTGCTGGGCTTTCTGTGCTGGCTACAAAATGTGACGTAAATGTCTGCCGCTAACAGCTTGGGACAAGCAGGATGAAAACCTGCCTCCTCGGGCCCGTGGCCCTTGGTGTGAGGCTCGGCTCTCTTAGGGGCTTGTAGGCCTTAGTGGAATGGTAATGGGGAAAACATGCAATTAAGATTAAGTAAAAATAAAAAAAAAATAAAAAAATTAAAAAAAAAAAGATTAAGTAAAAATAAATAAGTGGACTTAAACAAAGAAAATAAGTGGAGAGGCCCTTCTGTTACTGTCCCCAACCGCCTGGAAGCTCACATAGGACTTTCCCATCAGTGCGTGAGCGCAGTTTTCAGCCTGAAGGGCAGGAAATCAGCCCAGACATATCGTGGTGTTACAGCCCATAATTAGGTAAAAGCCAACTCAGCGGATGGCTAGTGAAGTTCGGAATTTAGAGCAGACCCGTTTTTTCAGGTTTTGACCTTACACGTAGATTGTAAATATCCTTCATCCTTCCTAAGTGAAATCTCCCTGTTCTTTGATCTGTATTAAGCATCAGATTTGCATATGCATGTTCAGGTGGCTGTTCATTAATTATCAGGGTGAAAAAAAGCCCCTTGGTTTCTTTTTGAATAGTTTGTTACTTAATGGAGAATTTAAACTGGTTCTTTTAAAACTGTTTCCCTCCAAAGAGCAAAATAATGCTTATAAAGAATTTGGAAAGTACAGAAAAATTTAAAGAAATCAAAGGAAAATCACCAAGAGACTCACTGCCTAGAGTTGTTTGTTGTGCCAGAGGGTTTTAAATTACAGAATGAATGTTCTATTTGCCTGCATTTTCTGCCTTTCTGAGTCCATAATTCATTCCCCACAGACAACTTTCCTATCACTTTTGTGCCTAATGAGAGTAGGGTGTGGACGGAAACCCAGCCCTGGCACCTGGACAGCAGGAGAGACGACAAGACCAAAATTCAGATGCCCCAGTGTCCAGAATTAGGCACTTGTCTTTTATGCTTTTGGTAGTTTTCTGTTCTCTCCATTTTTCCTGCTTTATTGAGGTATCATTGATACATAGTAAAGTGTACATATTTATTTACTATTTTCAAAGACTTATTTTTTTTTAGAGAGAAGGGAAGGGAGGGAGAAAAAGAGGGAGAGAAACATCAATGTGTGGTTGTCTCTTGCACGCCCCCTACTGGGGGCCTGGCCTGCAACCCAGGCATGTGCCCTGACTGGGAATCCAACCAGCGACCCTTTTGTTCAAAGTCTGGTACTCAATCCACTGAGCTACACCAGCCGTGGTATTCGTTGTCTTTTAAACTCAGTTTGAGAAATTCTTAGTATGAGAAGTGATTTTCGGTTGAAACCTGGACACATTTGTGTTACATTGTAAGACACCGGATCTCACCGAATGTTCCTTTAGCTGTCTTTCTTTGACACCCCTAACTTACACTAGATGGAGGGTGTAAGTCCAGTTCCCCATTCAGCTGCTGTGGGCAGCCTGAGTGGGCATTCAGGGCTCCTTGTTCCTGCTGGGTGGGAGTGGAGCTCCTGCTCCCAGACGGCCCCCACTGACAGTGCGGTGACGTTTTATCCCTGGGTGATGGTGGGGAGCCTGATTCTGACACTGCCCCAGGGCCTGGGGGGGGAGGTGTCTCTTTACTTCTTGGGTGGGTGGAAGTCTAGGCTTCTTACTTGATCTTCACTGACACGTGGGATGGGGGTGTGGTTATTACCTAGCGTGAATGAAGCTTCTAGCTTCTAACCCACCTGCCCTGACACTGCCTCAGTGGGTGGGTAGCGACGTCTCGTTACAGCCTTGCGAGTGCAAGTCTAGGCTCCTTGGCTGGCAGGCGGAGCGGTGGGCCACTGTTTCCCCCGCGTCTGCCTAGAGTGCAGTGATTACAGTCTGAAAGTGTTCTCTCTAGCCAGGCTGTCCCTGTCCTTGTCCTTTGGCTAGAGAAAACAAACTGCTTTGGGGTTTTCTTCTTTCCATTCGTTTAGTATTTGCAAGTTTCTGGCCTCTTAGCATCGTGTCTGGAATACGTGAGGCACAAAGAAAACCCAGGGAGCTCACCCCCATTCACTCCTTGGGTCCTGAGGATGCGAGCTTGTCTCTCCTCTCTGTGTCTCACAGTCTCACGTTCGTTTTACATACGTGTCTCAGCGTTTGCGGCACTTAAGTGGGAGGGACGGGGAAGAACACTCTGCTCCATCTTCCCAGAAGTGGAAACTGGTCTCTGTTTGTGGAAGATGCTTGCTCGGTGCACAGAATTCTGTGTTGATGCTGTTAGCACTTCGGAGACGTTAGTTCCTCCGCCGGCCCGGCTCCTGTTACTTCTGAGAAGTCTGTTGTCAGTTTTACTTTTGTTCCCATGTACTTGTGTTTGTGTTTCTCCTGCTCTGAAATGTTTTTCTCTTCATTGCTGTTTTAAGCAATTTGACAGAATAGTCCTTTGGGTAGTTTTCTTCGTTTCTTCTGTTTGGGATTTCTTGAGGTTCTTAACATTTGTGGTTTACTATTTCAAATTTGTATAACTTTCTGTTATTAACAAAATTTTTTACATGTAAAATAAAGTCAACTTTTTTTTGGTGTACAGTTCTGTGAGTTTTAACACAGGTATAGATTCATGTAGCCACCACCTTAAGTCAGGACAGAAAACTGGTCCGTCACCCAAACAGCCCCTTTGCGCTGCGCCTGTGCAGACAACCATCGGTTCCCGGAGGACTTCAGTCCCGTGCGTGTTAGGGACGCCTGGAAGCGGCCCCGCAGCTCAGCGACACACCCATCTTTTGTTGTTTAAGTTTTTTTGGGTTTTTTTGTGTTTCATTATGGGTAACTTGTACAGTTTTCAGATTGACTAGTATTTTCTTTTGTTGTGTCTACTGTATTTTTCTTCTCAGAAATCATGCTTTTCATTTGTGCCCTGGCTGGTGTAGCTCAGTGGACTGAGCACGGGACTGTGAACCAAAAGATTGCCATTTGATTCCCAGTCAGGGCACATGCCTGGGTTGCAGGCCAGTTCCCAGCAGGGGACCCAAGAGAAGCAACCATACATTGATATTTCTCTCCCTCTCTCCTTCCCTTCCCTTCCAAAAGATAAATAAATAAAATTTAAAAAAATTATGCTTTTCATTTGTAAACTAGATTTGGACCTTTTTCCATGTCTCTTCTTAACATGCTCTTGTTTTTTTTTAATACATCCTTAAACATAAATACATGTATAATGTCTTTGTAAATGTCCTTGTCTTTTGACTCTATTATAATCTCTGTTATTTCTGGGCCTGTTTCTATTTATTTGTCCTCATTGTTGGTCATTCCTGCTTCTTTGCCTTGTACTCTTTATTTAGAACTTATGTTGTCGGGTGCTAGATTTAAAAAATTATATTATTCCTATAAATATTTTTTGTTTGGGGGCACAATGACGTTAATTGGGAATAGTTTGGGTCCTTCCAAGGCTTTTAAAGCTTTGCTAGGCAGGTCCTGACAGCCTTTGGTTTGAGGAGGCATTTCTCAGCGTCAGCGCCGTGGGTGGGAGCAGGCCGAGCCGTGGCATGGGGCTGACCTGTGCTGGGTTGGGGGTGTGGCAGCAGTTGGGGCCTCTACCCACGAGATGCCAGTAGCATCCTCAGCCATGAGCTCAGAATGGTTTTCACGCTTCAGAAGGTTGTCAAGCCCTGGCTCAGTGGCCGGCCCATGAACGGAAAGGTCGCCAGTTTGATTCTTGGTCAGGGCACTTGCCTGGGTTGTGGGCCGGGTCCCCATGTATGAGAGGCAACAATTGATGTTTCTCTCCCTATTGCTCCCTCCCTACCCCTCTCTCTAAAAAAAATGAATAATTTTTTTTAAAGTTGTAAAGAAAAATAAAAACAGCAGCTGCAGCCACAGAGAACACCTATGTGGCCAGCAAAGCCCAGTATTTACAGAGAGGTTTCAGGCCCCAGAAAGACTGTGGGAGACAGTCTTTCACTGTTTGGGACACATGGGGTGTGAGAAAGAGAAATCCTGATTTTTCAAGAGAGATCTATATCCTGATTTTAGAGAGAGTCCTTAAGAACACAGGCTTTGAAATCAGAGTATGATTTGGTTATTATGTGCCTGTCACTTAACGGCTATGTGACATTGGGCAAATTTTTAACTCCGAGCTCCGGTCTTCTCTCCAGGTTTAGGGAGAATTAGATGAAGATGAAAAATGAACAAAAGCGTATGGTGCAGTGCATGACATGCGGTGGCTGCGACTGCCATTTCATTTCAGGAGCGTGCCCCCGTTTCCGTGGCCAGTATGTGTAGGTAGTCGGTGCACTGATTTGGAGCATTGCTCTCTCTCGTCCTCCAGGTCACGCAGAAGGGTTTTGTATGATGTGCACCATGCAAGCGCACATCACCCAGGCCCTCAGCAACCCCGGGGACGTCATTAAGCCGGTGTTTGTCATTAACGAGATGCGGCGTGAGTATCACCTGTAGTTACGGATGTCAGTATCTACTAGCTAGTTGGTCTTAATGGCTTAACTGGTAAAAGATGAGCCCCCTTGTATATTACAAAAACAAACATACTTTATCATACATAGAGTTGCCTTTAATAACATTTTTAGTATAATTTACTACATAAAACAGATTTTGAAATCTTAAAGCAAAAGATGACAATATAAAAAGAGTATTCAGTTTAATATAAGAAATTTTTTAATTTTTAAAACCTCAATTTGTTAATAAAATCATTGATAATCTTATGATCCCTCTCCTAGTATTTGGATTTCTATGCTGAGTAATACTAACTCTAATAATGTCCCACGGGTTTCTTTAAATTGTCTTGAATTAGTTTTAGTTAGTGAATATTACACTATTCACAGTGACAGCAATTGCCAAAATAAAGTTAGTTATACTTTTAAAGAAAAATTTATACTCATAGCTTAGCAAATTTGTGGATAAATCTTACTTTTTCTATTTAATTTTTAGATGACTTCCACATTTTTCTCTTGCACTGTAATGGTACTGACAGGTTGAATGAGATTTTCTCACGCACTTTGTGTTTGCAGTGAACTTCTACATCATCTTAACTAGCTGAGTTGGAGTAAAACATGCGTGCCAGGAAAAAAACAAAGCCCAACTCTTACTCTGATACCTGGTTAGGTGACTACAGGGGTGGACAGTGAACATTTACAGACCGTGACCCTTTTGCCTAAAAAGCTGCTGAAGACTAAGGTGGTGTCACAGTGGCGCGCAGGGCCCCTAACAGGCCAGCGCGGACGACCCAGACGCTTTTTAACATCAGTGCGTCCTGACAGCGTTCAGCTGCGGGGGCTTTCTCCCTGTTTAATCACACACGCACGCACACACAGCAGGCATGACCGATGTTGTTAATGTCAGTATTTGTTCAGAAACTGACTTTAAGGAAATGTCAGTGCTGTGTGTGCACCCCCCACGTGCATGGCCGAGTCATGAAACCGCCATTTCGTCGGTCAGGATGCTAGGATATTGGCAATTATAGACTGAAGTTGATATATTTTTACATATATTCATATGCATAACATTCTATATATGATGTTTTATTTTTTATTTACTTTTTATTTTCTTATATAATTTTGTCTTGCAACTGTTTGTTCAGTTAGAAATAGGACTGAAATGTTACTGAGAATATGCTGTGTAGGTAAAAAGGATAGAGTTTGGGGAGGTTTGGACATTGATGTTCTGCGTGGGCTCTCAGAGATCAGCACCAGATTTCAGATGTGCACACTAACGTAACATCGTGGACACATTTCTGAGACAATATAAAGTTGAGTTTATTCCAGTACAACTTTATTAACGTGCGGAAGCCACGGGCAGCATCTCTGTGCCTCCCCCTGGGCTCCCAGAAGCTGCAGCCCGTGTGGGCTCTTCATGGTCTAAAGACAAGGCCCTGGCTCCTCCGGTCACACGGGTTCGTGATGATCCCTTGTAAAACGATAACCAGGCTTTTCTAGTTAACGTACTGTTGGGAGATACAACTTCTGGGGGTCACAGCCTGGGCCTGTGATGTGATTGATAAAGCTTCGTCTTAAACTTCGTAGGTATAGCTAGGCACTTCCGGTTTGGAAACCAAGAAGATGCCCACGAATTCCTTCAGTACACTGTTGATGCTATGCAAAAAGCGTGCTTGAACGGCAGCAATAAGTAAGTACACGGAGCCCCGGTCATTTCCACCCCCGTGTGCCTCCGTCTTGCTGGAATTTGGTGTAGCCTTTTACACAAAGGCGCGGAGTTGTGTTTGCTTTGCCTTTTGACCCTGCACTGCCTTTCCCCAAGTTTCGTGCGTTGTTACCTTAAACCAGTTATAAGGTAAAACGGTGTGCTCACTATACCAACTTGGATTTGTTTAATTATGGGCAGCACAACATGAACATCCGTCTTACCACTGTTCAGTTTCTTAGCACTGGCTCCCTCATGCAGATCTGACTGACCTCTTCTCTCCGGTTGTGTCCTACTGCTGACCTCCAGCCTCTGACACCTGTGTCTGTTCCCTGGGTCTTCATTCCCTCTGCTCAGTCACCAGTTCCTGAAGTTTCTTCCTTAAATAAGTCTAAATTCAGACCTGAGCCCTGGCCTGGTAGCTCAGTTGGTTAGAACATCATCCTGATACATCAGGGTTGCAGGTTCCTTCCCAGTCAGGCCATATGCAAGAGGCAACCAGTGAATACATAAATAAGTGAAACAACAAATTTGTGTTTTCTCTCTCTCTCACTAATCAATAAAAAAATAAATGCAGACTCAAGAGGAAGGTAGGAGAAACCATTAGCCAGCAGGTGCTAACCCACTTGCCATTGCCAAGTGCACCTGGTGAATCTCCGCTCCATTCCCACCGCTGCCCTTGCTGCCCTCCGCCAGGCTCCCAGCGTGGGGCTGGGAATGGCCCATGGAACAGGAAAACGTGCTGTGTCCCTGCCCTTGCCAGCCAGGCCTCACAGCCAGTGTCACACTCGTGCCGACGGGGCCAAGTTCCTGCCTTGACTTAGAGCCCCTCCTCCCTCCAGTCCTGCTTTGCCCGCCTCTCCACGCTCTCTGCGCCCCGGTCAGGCAGACTGGCCTCCGGCTGCCACATGTACTGACGTCTTCTTGTTGTGTGCCCCACCCCCCGAATGCTCACCCCGGTCTAGATGCACGTGCTGCGGCCTGGCCACAGCGCCTGTGCCTCTCATAGAGCCCTGCTCAGGGCACCGCCTCTGTTTTTCAGGTTGGACCGACACACCCAAGCCACCACACTCGTTTGCCAGATATTTGGAGGATATCTAAGGTCTCGAGGTAAACTTTTACTTAACGTCAATAAAGCGATACGTGGATGGTGTTATAAAACAATGCCAACGGTAGAAAGGGTTCAGAACGGGGAGCATGTCCTCCACGCAGCCCAGACTTCCAGACCCTGTTGGAAGACAGCCCCGGCCCATTTCTAGCACCCTTCCAGCAGCTTCCTGTGCGTGAACAGCCTGGGAGCAAGCTAATATCACCTCTTTCATTTTCATCCTGACATTTCAGCAGAGGGTCTTCCACAGTTACATCGTATTCCGTTTTCCATTTGTGTTAGTCCCCTATCAAATGATACACTTCGGTCACTTCCAGTTTTACAGTCACCATCGAGGCCTCATGGAACACCCCTGTGACATGTCTGTGTCCACGTGAAACTGCACACTCGGGATGCACTTTCAGCGTGAGCACTTCCGTGTCGGGTGTGTGCGCCACTGGGTACCACCCTGTTGCCCCTCCGAGGGGTGGCACTGCCCACATTCTGAACAGCTGCGTTCCTGCTGTTTAGGATTAGAACTTTTGCCCAAAATCCGATAGAAAAAGTACCTTGTGTGAAATTTTCAGTTTGAAATGGGACTTTTGTTTTCTGTACCTTTAACAGTTGGAATTACGTCATAATTACACTTTGCTGATCCTTTGCATTTTGTTTTTATTTCAGTCAAATGTTTAAACTGCAAAGGTGTTTCAGACACTTTTGATCCATATCTCGATATAACATTGGAGATAAAGGTAAGCTGGATCGTGTGACAGTGACGTTTAAAAAATCAGTTTCCATAATTTCCTGTATTTGTAGTTTGTAATTAAGACTAGTGAAATACAAATGAAAATTTTTAATATTCTAAGACCTTGTTTACAGGTGATTATTTAAGCTTTGCAGTAGGCATCATAACAAGCTTAAAACAGTCTTTTTACTGCCCTTTGATTTTTCATTCAGTAAAGCCGGATTCTGATGCCTGTGTCAGCCGAAGTAGATGGCAGTTATCATTTAGACATTGTTTTGCTCCTTGCGTTTTCTAAACTCTTTATTTTTTGTTCGTAACCTTTGTACTTCTGATTTCAAATGGGATACCTGTTTATGATAAACACGATAAGCACCGTGGGGGCGTGTGCGTGCGTGTGCATGTGAATGATCTATCCTGCAGAGCGGGCTCTTCCTGTCACGCCGATGCTGTGTAGATCGTTCCAGAGTGTGTTACTTACCGTTTACAAATGTGGAGTCACACCTCAAGTGCGTTTGGCTGCTTGCTGTTCTGTTCCATTCTGCTTGGGGACCTCTGTCTGTGCTGAGATCCACTGAGTGGCGAGCTGCCGCCGCCACACCCAGTTCCTTGCTGGTAGATACTGGCTGGTAGATAGACTTGTTTTTTGAGAGAATGAGCAGCCTCTTTACATATTTTGGTTCACTTTAAGCATCTTGTTTTTTAATGGCGGGGAAACAACTTGCCGTGTCTGTGTGTAAAATGGCCACCCTAATAAAAGGACACCTTCTTTCGTCATAAAAACTCCCTGCTGCATCGCCGTCTTCCCGACCCCATCCCGCAGCAGAGGTAAGGTGTGCTGTGCTCTCTCTCCAGGCCGCGCAGAGTGTGAACAAGGCGCTGGAACAGTTTGTGAAGCCCGAGCAGCTGGACGGCGAGAACTCATACAAGTGCAGCAAGTACGACGGCACCACCGGGGTGTGGCGGGGCCCCTGCACTGCCCTTGCCGTCTGGGGGGACTCCGCGTGTTCTCTCCCAGGGCCAGGGTCTGCAAGAATACCCTGCAGATGGGGGGACGTGGGCTCACTGCGGGGCCGGGGGGCAGGGAGCGGGGAGGGCAGAGGGAAGCCCATCCGCGCCCACGGTGCTGCCGCCCATCTGGGCCCAGAGCGGCGTTCGCACCTGCGCTCTCATCGGGGTGTGCTGGGGGGCGGCCGCTTCCTCCAGGCCAGTTAAGGCTCTTCCTCTCTGTGGTTCTTACCTAGCATTGGGGGTAGTACGTGCTAGAAACCTCCAGTTTCCCCTAAGGTCCAGGGAGCCTGTTTTCAGAGCCCCTTTCCTCTGTCGTAAATAGCGTTTCGTGTTATAGTCAGGACTCGTGTAGCTTCCCGCCAAACACTTGTCTGCGGGGAAGATACAGCTTTCTGTCCGGGACGTAGGGATTGATTTCTCTGTTACCTTTTCCGGACATCGCTGATCATTGCTTTTCTTCCTTTTGTGTCGAGATGGGGCTTTGTTTTCACAAAATTATACCATCCTGGAAATCTGTTTGTTTTCCAGCTTGTTTTGAGTCCACAGGCACTTGTGCTAACCCATTTAAAGTGTCAGTGTTCTGTGTGGCTTGGCGCCCGAGCTGTCCCAGCCGCCTCGTCCCTGTGTTGGAAAATTTAGAATTTTCCCTGCTGGCTGAGAGGTGTTGTGTTTGTCATCTAGTATCCTTTTGGAAATTTGATTTAGAATATTTCAGAGAAATAATAAGGGGAAGACTAAAATGCAAAAAAAACCCTCCCAAACTTATTCTTCTTAATTCTTTGTTTCTGTTTATTTCAAGATGTAAAAAGATGGTTCCAGCTTCAAAAAGATTCACCATACACAGATCCTCCAATGTTCTTACACTTTCTCTGAAACGCTTTGCAAATTTTACCGGTGGAAAAATTGCCAAGGTATGTAGACGTTAAAGCCTTTTACATTGAGCCTTTCAAGGGGAAGCGTCGGTAGTTTTTCCGCCTAATTGAACAGCTTTGTTACCTGGTTTTCTAAGTTCCCCCAGCACTCGTTGGTGGAAAAAAACGCCACAGCGTGGATCTAGTGGTCTGCTCTGTGCGTGCATGAGCGAGCATGAGTTTCCTCATGTCCTTTGGCTGGCCAGGCTCTCTGATGCTAAGGTTGTCAGCTGTTTCTCAAATACGGACTTCACAGTTGGTGAGGCGAGAGCGGATGCAGAGAGAGAGTCGTTTGAAATCCAAGGAGGGCTCCTTAGTACATCTCGCCACTCCTTCATCTAAGTTTGTTTTCTTGGTTGGCAAGAAGTACACTGAATTTTCCCATTTCCTTTCCACTTGCTGAAGACTGAGAGTCAGTAACATACAAGAGAAATAAGCAGTTCATTCCTGAATTTTTAGATAAAAATAAGTGATGACCAAAGTCCAGAGTTGTCCATCTGTGACTGTGCCCTTTGATGGATTTGAAGAATTCACTTAATATGGGTTGTTAGTTGTTCTGAGAAAACAAAGAATACAGTGGGATTACATTGGATGCACTCGGATTCATTCCTGGCCGGGTGGCTCAGTTGGTTGGGACACAGTTGTGGGTTCAACTCCCGGTTAGGGCATGTGCAGGAGGCAACTGAAGAATGTTTCTCTCTCTTCTTTCGTCTCTCTCTAAAAATAATCTTTAAAAAATTTTAAAGACAGTGGGCTTTTTATTTTTTATTATTATTTTTTAAGATTTTATTCATTTATATTTAGAGGGGAAGAGAAGGAGAGAGAGAGAGAAACATCAATGCATGGTTGCCTCTCATGCATCCCCTGCTGGGACCTGGCCTGCAACCCAGGCTTGTGCCCCGACTGGGAATCCAACCGCGATTCTTTGGTTCACAGGCCCACGAAAATAATTAAATTTTTAAAAAAATTTTTTTAAAAAAAGCATATCCTTAGGTGAGGATTAAGAAATAAAAACAATTTCAGCTGGCCCTGGCTGGGTAGCTCAGCTGGTTAGAATGTTGCCCGGTACACCCAGGTTCTGGGTTGGATCCCCTGTCAGGGCACAGACAAGTCAACCAGTGATGCGTGGATGAGGAGCAGCGGGTCAGTGTTCCTCCCTCCCCACCCTCAAATCTATAAGTAGTTTTTAAAAATAGATACACTCAGATTCAGATATGTCCAAGTTCATCATGAAGTTCAATGAGTTAGGTGTCTGCAGGCAACCTGCCCTACCCCACCCGAGTGCCCCCCACTGAGCCCATGGCGGGAACTGTGCCTTCAGGAATGACGTTCCCTGTCCTTCCGTTTCCGTGTAGGATGTGAAATATCCTGAGTATCTTGATATTCGACCATACATGTCTCAACCAAACGGAGAACCGATCATTTACGTCTTGTATGCGGTCCTGGTGCACACTGGCTTCAACTGCCATGCGGGCCACTACTTCTGCTACATAAAGGTGGGCCCTGCGGGCTGCGCTGGGGTCTCTGGTTGCGGTGCACTGTCGGGTGGCACTGCATCCTTGGGGAAGGTGGGACTTCGATAGTTAAATGTGAAGTTTCTCACACTGCTCTAGGTGGCGTTTCCTGGTTCCCTGCTTACACTGAACATCTCTTTCATTGGCTCTCTTCCAGGCTAGCAATGGCCTCTGGTATCAGATGAATGACTCCATCGTATCTACCAGTGACATCAGATCGGTACTCAGTCAGCAAGCGTATGTTCTCTTTTATATCAGGTATTGTCAAGGCAACAAATTTCTGAGTTTTCTGTTACATCATTTTGGTTCATCTCATCAACACATTTCAATTCAATATTGAGATGTTTTTAAAATAGCAGCTTGATGCCTGGGAGAGGAAGGCATGTAGCTTTTGAGTGTGGGTCCTAGTTGGCTTTAGCTTCCAGCTCTTTGGCAGGTTAACCATGAAACGCATTCAGAGGAAGGGAAAGGCAGTACCTGGAGGGGACGGCCTGCTGCTGCTGGCCACAAACTGGGGGCCTGGGGCCTGTGGAGGCCCCAGGAAGGGGACCCAGAGCACCTGGGTGTGGTCCCCTCCCAGCCTCTGAGCACAGGCAGCCAGGCGTCCTCCCAAGTCTGGCCCGGGCAGCGCCCCGTATCCGGCTCATTTCTCTGCTGTTGCGGCTGCAGACTCTGAGTTGCTGACTCCGTTGTGGGGATGTGTGGCCTTGGGAAAAATCAGAGCTGTGCTTCAGGACTTTGCTTGTAGTAGCTGAAAACTAACCATTCTACGACTTCCAACAGCAGCAATATGAGCATGTAAATTGTAGCATACCCAGATATTGAAATATTGTGCAGCTGTTAAAAGTGATCTTTATGAAGTTTTTTTTCTTGATGACATGAGAGTGCTCAGTGTATATGGAGGAAAAGCAGTTTGAAATTTTATACCCTGTCGAAGAAAACAGTGCAGGCCGAAGTGTGGAGAATAATCTCCTAGATCTGAAGGTTCCTCTGGGGGTCAGATGACGCACAGTGGGTTTATTTCCAACTTTTCAGGCTATTACAGATTTTCTAGAACGGCATGTGTGTATTTATCATTAGGGAAATACAGTTAAACTGAAAAGCAAAGTAGCCCTCTGATGGTAGCATCCTCAGGACACACAGTTAAAAGCAGCACTTGCCCGGTGGCCCCGCAGGTCTGCCGGTGTAAGCCCCGGCGTTAACCACCCCTGGCGGGGGAGCCCGTGAGCGGCGCTGGCCACTGCAGCAGACCGGTCCCCTCTCTGAGGGTTATGAGCGTGTCTCTTCTCGGGAGACGTCCCGTGTAACCCTAAGCAAGTCGCTCTCTGTCCCCAGGTCCCATGATGTGAAAAATGGAGGTGAACTTACTCATTCCGCCCACAGCCCCGGCCAGTCTTCACCCCGACCAGTGATCAGTCAGCACGTCATCAGCAGCAAACCGGCCGCGCCGGGGTTCATCGGACCGCAGCTCCCCTCGCATGTGATGCAGGTAGCGTGCCGCGGGGGCGCCTCTGTGTTCCTTCTAAAAACTCGGCCTTCAAATCCTCGGGCTGGCATTGCACCAAGCTGCTGTGGCTCCTATACAAATGAGTTTCTAATCAAAAAAGTCTATCCAAGGCACTTACTATCAAATATTTCAAACACACAGCACATCTCCAAGTTTGGATACAGTACTCCAAGCAGGAGTATGGAAATGCTAGAGAGTGTAGCGCTCCCTCTGGACCTCCGCTCACGTAATGCGTGGATATCGGGGGGCCCCTCGTGTGGCAGGCTGGTGTGGGTGAGAAGAGGAAGCGTGTCTAGGTGTGTGAAATATGCTATTTATAAGAAGAAAAAGACCGAATGGGAGGGGCCCGTAGCCAGAGTGGATGCCCTGTCTGTGATGTCATTCTCGAACGCTCACCAGTGGGCTGTGGTTTCCTTCCAGAACCCACCTCACTTGAACGGGACCGGACCATTGAAGGAGACGCCAAGCAGTTCCCTGTCAAGTCCAAACGGAAGCTCCAGCGTCAGCAGGGCTGGTCCTGTCAACGCTTCGACCTCTGTGCAAAACTGGTCAGTGAGCAGGTCCTCCGTTAACCCGGAACACCCCAAGAAACAAAAAATCACAATCAGTATTCACAACAAGTTCCCTGTCCGCCAAGGTCAGTCGCAGCCCGGCCTTCACAGCAGTGCTTTGGAGAGCCCTGCCAAGCCTGCCCCCTCTTCTACCATTACCAATTCTTCCGCAATACAGTCTACCTCGAGCGCACCTTCCGCGTCGGTCCCCAGTCCGGGCCCGAGGCAGACAGCCCCGAGTGAGTCCTGCTCCAAGCCAGTGATGAACGGCAAGTCCAAGCTGAACTCGAGTGTCCTGGTCCCCTATGGTGCCGAGTCCTCGGAAGATTCCGACGAGGAGGCAAAGGGCCTCGGCAGGGAGAACGGCCTGGGCACGGCTGAGAACGTGCACGCTTCTGCTCAGGACGCTGAGGAGGACCAGGCCCCCCCACTCGAGCTTCGCCAGCCGGTTCCTCTGAATGGTGCTAACGACAGCGCGGACAGCGACCCGAAAGAAAACGGTCTGTCCTTCGATGGTGCCAGTTGCCAAGTCCAGCCTGCTCTGCACTCAGAAAACCCCTTTTCCAAGGCAAATGGTCTACCTGGAAAGGTGAGTGGGTGTCGGCGAGGGCTGGGGCGGGCTTTGCTTTGGCTCCATTCATGGCGGGTCACTTGGCTGGATTTCAGGAGGCGTGGAGTGGCAACTGGAGTTGAAGCATCTTTGTTTTTTATCGCAGCTGATGCCCGCTCCTTTGCCACCTCTCCCGGAAGACAAAATCTTAGAGACCTTCAAACTCGGCAACAAAGGGAAAGGCTCCACCGAGGAAGCCAGGTAACACTGACAAGGGGCCCCGCCCACCCGTGCGGGTCTTACCGCAGACCCCCCAGCCCTGACAGTGACCAGGGTGTGAAGATGCCTTCGGCTGACAGGGCACTGCTTCCCACTGTGAAACAGCACGCCCTTTGTTTTGTCCCTTCCGGAATGCTGAAGTCGAGTTTACTGATAAGGCGGTCTGCTTCCATTTCATTTTTAAAGGAAAAAATCAGTACAGTGACCTGAGTGTGATGGGAAAAAAAGGAAGGGAATCTGTAAGGCGCGTGCATTCCACACACGCGGCTAGCTGAGAGTGCGTGACACGAGGCCCTGCGCAGCGCCTCCTGGCGGGGGCGGGGGGGGGGCAGCGCTGAGTGACAGCCGACTGTCCCTGGGTCGACACAGTAGGTGGTTCCTGGGCAGTCTTCATCTCCGTGAAAACTGCCACCAGCATCACCACTGGGTTCCCACCCCCGAGGACACTGGGGTGTGGGGGACAGGACACTCGTGATACGAGCCTGCCTGTCCCCACCCACCAGTGCCCACAGGGCCCCCATCATACTGACGGCCCAGAAATGCCCCCCACACGTCAGAACGGCCCTCACTGGACCGATGTTGGAGGCTCCCGCACTCAGGTGGACCGAGTGGCTGTGGCCGGAACACGCCTGCCCCCAGTTCGCTCTCTGACCTGCACGCGGTCCTCCTTTCTGCTGCTTTCCCAGTTGGCTCAGGTTGTCCTCGCAGGTCGTGTGCGTGACAGCGATTACAGGTCGTTGTGTAAGCACCGTGCATGGAGCGGGTGGGCCTGGCGTCCCAGGCCGACCTGAGAGCCTTTCTGCTGTGCTCGAGGGGACTTGGGCATATTGACTCCACGTGGGTCCCCGCTCCCAGATGGTTTCCTGCTGCACAGTGGGGGCCGATGTGGGGTTTTTGTTGTTTCCTGGCAGCTTTTATGAAGCTGGAATGCGCAGTCGAGGGCAGAGTTCAGGTGCCGCAGAAGGCTCTTCTGCAGCCCCAGGGCGCTCACGGTTACGAGCGCTTCCTGGAGCTGTCCGTTCGGTTTGTGGAGAGAAGGGGGTCCTGAGGGGGAGTCGGGCCTCTGCCTGTCATCCCTCCTGTCCTGGCTCGGTTACTAAGAAGAAGTAGTCGTCTGTCTGAGAGCAGAAGCAGCCGGGAACCACAGGGTCCTTGTGAAAAAATGGGATAGGAGACAGGCTTGGTATACAATTCTGTATTTTTATTTAATGAAGGAAAAGAGAAAGTTCCAGGTCCCAAAATGGTAAGCTCACTATCGGGTTTCAACCAGATATTAAGGCATAAAATAGTGTTGCTAATAGATAAATGTTTTGAAGTGTTTGTCCCTGTGAGTCAGTGACAGAAACCTGTAAAGCAACCTCAAGAATGACTAACGTGTCTTTGTTTTGGTCGGGCTGCAGTGCCGCCGGAACAGAGGGAAGCCCGCAGGTGCGTCTGGAGGCAGGCCGGGAGCCTGGCAGCCCCACCCCTGACTGCCGGGAGAAGCTGGAGACCGCCCCGAGCCTTAGCAGCAAATTCAAGAAGGCTTTGCCGCTCCCAGACCCCAGCATCAAATCTACCAAAGAAGAAGTCTCTGAAAACATCTCAGCAAAACTTGAGGAGTCTTTGCCCAGCACCGTCCACCTCTGTAATGCCAAGAACAGCACTGGGGATGACCACCTTTCTAAACTCTGTGACCCCGGGAACTTAACAGGCGATCAGAGCAAAGCATCCCAGGATGTAACAGGGGCATTATCAGAGAGTCCCCAGGACTCGGCAGCAGAGGAAGCCACGGGGAGGTTGAGCCCGAGTCCCTTGGCACCGGCCGAGGACGATGGCACGCAGGAACCCTCTGTGCACAGTGGCCGAGACAAGGGCACCGAGGGAGGAGAAGATGCGCCCGATGGCACGGGGGCACCTGCCAACGAGCTGCCCTCTCCTCCCTTGGACAAGGTCACGGAAAGCCATTCAGAAGCTGGTGGGGCTCCTGAGCAAAGTTCCGGGGACCAATGTGATGAGAATAAGGCTGGGCAGAAAGCCCAGGATCATTCCCCAGTTAAGGAAAAAATCAGCAACCTCCGAAAAGTTGACCGAGGACATTATCGCAACTGGAGAGACCGCTCCTCCAGTGGGGAGCGCCCGAGGGACAGCAGGAGCAAGACAGAGGACCATTACCACAGGAGGCGACACCCCTACACGCGAGAGCGGGTGCTGCAGGGCCGCTTCCGGGCAGAGCACTGCAGCGGGGGCCCGCACCACCCCTGCCAGCACCACGGCGTGGCCAGGCACCGCCACCACCGCTCCCGGAGTGGAGGCCGGTCCGACCAGGGCTGGGGCACGCACCACCACGCGGAAGGTGGGCACTCTTGGGGCCGGGAGAAGTACTACCCAGACAAGAGGAGGTGGGACAAGTGCAGGTATTACCACGACAGGTACGCCCCCTACACGGCAAGGGAGGCGTGGGAGTGGAGGCCTCTGCACAGCGACCGAGACTACGACCGTGTGGGTCAGCACGGTGGCCAGCCACACAAGGACTGCTACAGGAGCGGAAAGGGCTACGGGCTGGCCGCCAGGGAGCGGGAGCGGCACCGCTTCGGCAGCCCCCGAGCGGGCCCTCCCCACGCCCCGCCTCCCTGCCCTGAGAAGTACCCCCACGAGAAGACTGCACTGGGACCCGAAGGCAGCAGCCGTCACCTTGCCGATCAGTTTCATGAACACCAAAACGTAAAGTCCCGAAAACGACGGTACGATAGTATGGAAGACGACGACCCGTACGGAGAAAAGAAAGCCTGGAGAGGCTCGCCGAGGGGCCCTGTGGAAGAACCTAAAGGGAAGAAGCACAAAAAGTCAAAGAAGAAGAAGAAATCCAAAGACAAACACCGAGAGCGAGATTCCAGGTGAGGGTGTGGGCCAGACGTGTGCACCAGGGCGGGGCGGCCACTGGTCACGCAGCTTCCTTTCCGCTGCGGACCCAGCCTGGAACCAGTGGGGGGCTGCGTGGTGTTTATGTTTTATTTGTGTATCTCATTTCTGTGTGGGTTTTAAGAGTTTTTATGGGTTGTTAAAATTTACCTCTGCTTTTAAGTTGTATCTCAACAGTATCATAAAATGCCTAAAAATCTCATTTTTCAAAAATTGCCATTTTGATTAATACTCTGTAAATGAAAACTTGGGGTCATTGACCTCACAATTGATGCTAACGTTCTTAATGGTCACACATGCTTACGTTGTCACGTTAGTGTTTTCCTCAGACTCGGCCACTGCCCGGACAGTGAGAGGCCCATCCCCGAGCGGGGGTCTCAGACACACCCTCTGCTGCCTCCATTTTCGTCCGTTTTTCTGTCTCCATTCCTCATTTTGGAATCTCACTGGCACACGTGTTTTTTATTTTTGCTTATTTTACTTTTTAATTTTATCGTTTATTCTATCACAGTTGTTCCATCTCCCCACTCCCTCAGGCAGTCCCCACACTGTCATCCATGTCCGTGGGTCATGCACATGTCTCTTTGGCTACTCTGTTCCCTGTGTTGCACTTTATTTACCCCCTGTGACTGTTCTGTCACTGACAATGTGTACCTCTTAGTCCCCTCACCTCTTCACCCATCCCCCTCTCCCATCTGGCACCCATCGAAACATTCTCTGTATCTGGGAATCTGTTTCTGTTCGGCTTGTTCATTTGTTTTGCAGATTCAATGGTTAACAGACATGTATTTGATACCATTTTATTGTTTGTATTTTGTAACTTTTCTTAAAACCCTTTAACATTCCATATAATACTACCGGCTTGGTGGTGACGAACCCCCTTTAGCTTTTTCTTCTCTGGGAAGCACTTTATCTGCCCTTCTGAATGATAGCTTTGCCAGGTAGGGCAGTCTTTGTCATTGTAAGTCTTTGCTTTTTATCTTTTTGAAAACTTCTTGCCAGTCCCTATTAGCCTGCAGTTTCTTTTGAGAAATCAGTTGACAGTCTGATGGGAACTCCTTTGTAGGTAGCTCTCTGCTTTTCTCTTGCTGCTTTTAGGATTCTCTGTCTTTGACCTTTGGCATTTTAATTACGATGTGCCTTGGAGTGGGCCTCTTTGGGTTCATCTTGTTTGGGATTTTCTGCGCTTCCTGGACTTGTGTGTCTATCTCCTTTACCAAGTTAGGGAAGTTGTCTGTCATTTTTTCAAGTAAGTGTAGTTTCTTGCTCTCTCACTCCTCGCACCCCCAGAGTGAATGTTGGTACTCGTGGAGTCATCCCAGAGGCTCCTCCTATCTTCATATTTTGGGATTCTTTCTTCTCCTTGTCCTGACTGGTTGATTTTTGCTTTCTTATGTTCCAGATCATTGATTTGATTCTCAGCTTCATCCACTCTATTGTTGTTTCCCTGTAAACTGTTATTTCAATTAGCATGTCCCCTTCCTTTCTGACTGGGTCTTGTTTATGTAGTTGAGTTGCTCACTTAGTTCACTGAGCATCCTTATAGCCAGTGTTTTGAACTCTGCATCTAGCAGATTTGTTTCCATTTTGCTTAGTTATTTTTCTGGGGTTTTGTTCTGTCCTTTCATTTAGGGTAGGCTTGGTAGCATGGCCTGAGGTAGTAGATGTCCTACAGGGTCCAGCGGCACTGCCTCCCTTATCACCCAGGCTGGGCACTCAATGTGTGCCCACCAGGTGGGCTGTGTACACCTTCCTGTTGGAGTTGAGCCTTGATCGCTGTTGGCATGTCCAAGGTCAGGCACTGCCTGTATTTTGTCGGGTCACACAGCATAAGCTAAAAAGTGATCTGCAGGCCATTTAGGGAGCTGTAAGGAGCTCACTGAAGCCAGATGCTGCTTGTTTGAGAGGACTTAGGAAAATATGAAGCATAAGCCAAGACAAGCCATTTACAGGGAAAAGCCACTGGGAACAGCTTGGGTGGACCCACAAGTTGGGTGGGACAGGGCCTTGGGGAATCCCCAGGGCAGGGCAAACAGTGTGAGCCAGGTTGATGGAGTCTCAGATGTGGCCCCCACCTGCCAGCTGTTGGGGGAGGGCTCAGAAAAGGAACAATGGCCTCTGCCAGCACTTGTGTCCGGGAGAAAGCTGCCCCTCAGCTCTCTCCCTGAGGCTGGACACTTCAGTTCCTCTCCATATGCCTCTGGTGCCTTTCAAGCTGCTGCCGCAGCACCGGAGCTCAGAGGGAGGGAGTGTGAGTAAGCCTGGGCCTAGGTTCTTTAAGGGAAGCTGCCTGGGACCCCAGAAGTTTCTGTCTTCCACAGCCTCATTCCTGCTCGTATGTACAGCCAAAGTTGTGGGGATTTCTCTTCCTGGCACCGGAGCCTGGGCTGGGGGGCCTGGCATGGGGCTGGGACCCCTCGCCCTTGAGATATCCCTTCCGACCTTTATTCACCACACATAGGTGTGGGGCTAGTACTTCCCAAACTCCTGCCCCTCCTTCCAGTCGTGAGGTGGTTTCTTTTTTAATTCCGTAGTTGTAGGACTTCGTTCAGCTTGATTTCTGATGATTCTGAATGATGGTGGTTCTACGGTTCGGGTGCATGTTGGTGTGGGTGTGCGAGAAGGTGGGCGTTGTGCTGACCTATGTTGCCATCCTGACCAGAAATCTCCCCGTGAAATCTTTCTGTGTTTTTAAAAAGCTGAATAATTGGTCAGAGCTAAACTGGTCAGTGATTCCCTTGGAAATGACCTACCCATGACAAGATGAGCACAAACTATTACACGTTTCATACATTTGACGTCTCTTAACACCGAAGCCCAGGGGAGAGCACCGCGAGGCTGTGGCAGCTGAGGGGGCGGAGCTCGCCGACACCTCCCCGGGGCTGAGACGCCTGCATGGCCTTGGTCCCCGCAGCCCTTCCCCTGGCTTTGTGGCCGAGCACCCTGGCTCCCCAGCAGAGCCAAAGGCAGTGGGGGGATGGGGTTGAACTGGGTGAATGTATGACCCTGGGCTTAAAAACATTACTACAGTGCGTTTTTAATTAGATGAGAAATTTACCTGTGTGTGCAGGAAGGCGTGTGCACAGTGTGGGTATAAAAGCCAAGGGGCGGGCCGTCTTTGAGGCGGTTGCGTTTTCGATGGTTGGAGCCCTGGCTGCTTCCCCTGCAGGCACCCGCAGGATTCAGACCTCTCCGGACCACACTCTGACGTGGACCCCCACAGACACAGGAAGAAGAAGAAGAAGAAGAGGAGACACTCACGGAGATCTGAGGACTCTGGTCAAGACACGGGACTGCACTCGGCCAAGGCCACCGGCTCGGAGACCGCCGGCCATCTGCGGGGGGCAGGGGGTCCCCCACTCACCGACAGCCTGCCCCCGGAAGGGGCTGGGCCTCTCCGGGAGAAAATGAGACACGTCCGGATGGCCAGCAGGGGTGACCGGCGTCATCTGTCAGAGTGTGGCCAGGGTAAGGAGACACTTGGCATTAAAATACAGAAACGGGCTTTGGGGAGCAGGTGACTGTCCCATGGGAAGAAAACCTGCATAGTGTGAGAGGGTGGCTCAGGAGGGGGCCCCCACCCTGCACCCCGCCCCGCCTGTGCGCCCCGAGGCCCACGCAGGGTTTATTTGGCACTGAGCCCCGAGTGTGCATGAGAGCCGGGCTGCATGTGCCTAGCAGGGCCTCCGGGCCTTGCCTCCGGGGTTCAGGGCTCCGGGTGTCTTGAGTACTTGCTTTATGAAGGACTGGAGTTTTTACACTGTTTTCAAATATTTTAAACCATTTAAAAAATATTCTCTCTCTCCTGAATCCTTCAACCTCTAGCATTCTGAGTATCACCTGGAGGTCACTGTTGCCGGCTTCAGGGGCAGCAGCTGGCGGCCTGGCTGAGCGGTGCCTTTGGGAGGCACTTCTCCCAGGTCTCTGTCCCCTTGTCATTAACTGTGTGGTCCTTTCTGCTCTCATTGCACTGAAAGCCGCCCCTCCCTGTCCTAATCTTTGACCCTGGAGAGCAGCTCTGAATTTGGGAGAAGGCACGACATGGGGGCAGTGGACCAGAGCAGGGGCCGAGGGCCTGCCGGTTAGGAATGGTTTCAGCACCTGAAGAGGTTGGGAAAATCCAAAGGTTTCAGTTTCCCTGACGGTGTGTCAGGGTGAGGCTGCGCGTCAGGGCGGAGCCGCAGTGTGGTACAGCCCGGCTCTTGCGGTCTCTGGGGGAAGAAGCCTGCCCACCCTGCCCGGACGCTGCGGTGCCCGTCTGTGACTGTGACCGTGGTTGCCCAGAGGCCCTGTGGTTCTCGACCACGCCTGGCCTCTGCTGGGCCGTCAGGCAGTGGGTGTGGTCAGCCAGTGGCAGGGCGGAGGGCACCTGACTCTGAGGCACAGGGCCGTCCCACGGGAGGGTAAGTGCGGTGGGAACTCCAGCAGCACGTGGCAGCAAAGAAGTGGAGCTCAAGTGTGTGTTTGCTCTGTTTTTAAGAAATTAATGTGTATTTTCAGATTGGTTTCCTTGAACATGACGGCTATTGGGGAAGGGTGGCGAAGATCGAGTCCTTGTTCCCTCTGCTTCCTGCTGGCATGTGGCAGTGAGGGCTGTTGTGCAGGGGCCCCAGGGCGTTCTCCAGGGTTGCCAGCCCCTCCCTGTTCACCCTGGGCCCTCTCTGGAGAGCCACAGTGGCGGCCTGGGTGTACCGGTGATGGAGCCTGCCCTCAGCTGGCTCTGGGGGGAAGTGTGTGAAGTGCAGGCCTCACTGCTGTGTCTCCAGGGGCTGCCGTCAGGCTTTGCCTCATGGTGGCCCAATGGTCCTGTGTCCCCCAAGAAGGGCCAACCCTGTCACCTGGCTGAGGACAGACCCCGTTGTCTGACATGTGCCCTCTGTCCCGACTGCTTACCTGCCTCCCTCCCTCCTGCTCTCAGGCTCCATTAAAGCTCGCTTGCTGTGGTCCACACGCCAGAAGGATGCTCAGCTGCTGGGCTCACGCTGTCTCCCCCGGGGCGTGGCTCTCATTGCTGGGCTCCTGGCCTGTTGTTCTCGCTTTCAGTGGCACGGCAGACCCGGCTTCTGGCAGCAAAGCTTGCTGGTCCCTGTGTGGAACTGAACGCCAGGCTGCCGGAGCTGGCTGTGCGGGGCATCACTCCCTGCTCACAGAGCAAGGCCCTGTGCGTGCGTGAGCTCACTGACTTGTTCCCTAACTTCTGCTTGCACCCTAGGTGACTGAAGACTCAGCCTCAAAACCAGGACGTCACTAGTCATGGTAAGCTGTTCCTAATTCTGTCCCCTTGCAGCTATAGGGGCACTGCGGGGACACGGAGCGGGTCCGGGGCTTGGGCTGTGGGATGCGGGTGCCCCCAGCAGGGGCAGCCGACCCTTCTGTTCTCCAGGCTGGCACCGAGCTTACACTCTCTTATCAGCACACTGCCTGGGGGACGCCGTGTCCGTACACTCAGGCGGTCCCTCTGTCCCCTGCTCACTGTGAACAGATGAGCACACGCAGCGCATGGGAGTCAGTTACCTGGACATGCTGGACGCGGTGGAGTCCAGTGTCCTCAGCCCAGACCTGCCCGCAGCCTGAAAGGAGCCCCCCGGGCTTCCCTCCCTCCACACACCCACCAGTCCCTGCCCCGGGGGTGCCAGGCCAGCGCTCCCACAGACCAGAGGTGGCCGGCCCCACCCCAGCCTCAGCCAGAGAGGACTTTGCTTTGAGGTTTGGGTGTTCCCAACAGATCCAGAAGCTACACAGTGCTGTGCAGTTGACTGCTGGGGTCTCTTCAGTGGCCCCGAGGGCAGAAGTCACACTTTTGTGCCCCGCCCTCTTGCTGAGGGGAAGTGGACAGGGAGCCATTTCCCCAAATGTGTCACTTCTTGGCAGCAAGAGGGATTAAAAAACAAACTTGAGTATCTTCAGAAGATTAATTTGCAGTTAACTAAGATGCTTTATCAATGTGTCCTCAAAGGAAAGACCTAAGCCTAATTAAGGAATTAAACCCTTGAGAGGAAATGTTAGGATTGGGAGGGATTAGCCAGTTGGGGTTTGGAGGCACAGTCCGTGCCCAGCAGAGGGCGCCTCCGCCTCTTGGCTGAGCTCCCCGAGGGCTGCTGCCTGCACCCGCCGGAACCAGCCCGCTCCCCACGGCCCTTCAGAAAGGCAAAGCTGGGGGTCAAGGAGGAGCTGCTCCAAAGACCTGGGGGAGCCTGCTAACAAGGAGCCCACAAATAAGGAGTTGGCGTGACTGACTCACTGGGCCCTTTGTTCCAACTTCCTGCCTCTTGTTTTTCAGATTCAACATGTTCAACAGAAGCCATCCCCAGCCCAGCTTAAATTATAAATATAGAAAATAACCTTGTTCAAATCTGCGTGGTGCTTCTTTAGTAAATACTGTACAGATTTTACCATGGACAACTTTTTTTTTAGTTTTTACCTTTTCTTAATTACCCTTATTCCAAATGGACGAACACTTTCTACAACTGCTGAGCATTGTAAAATCCCGTGTATATAAATCACAATTGAAAATAACGCCCTGGACTAGAACATCTCAAATGCTGCTTAATCCCAGACTCAGGTCGATCACTGTACCCACGCGATGCTCCTCCAAGTCAGACAGCCAGTGCGAGGCCCGCCGGGAAGCCAGCGCTGTTACACGCGCGACTGACAGTATGTACATTTAATTTAAAGACTTATTTAAAGCTCCACCAGCTCTCAGCCAGGCTTCTGAGAGCAGTCTGTTTTCTGTAACGTCTGATACTAGAAACTAATTTGCTTCATATTTTAGTTGTATTCAAGATTTGAAGGTGTATTTTATAGACAAGTTCTGTTTTTGAACTTTGTGGAACTATCCCAATCAATTTACCAGTTATGATGAGTATTTCCATTATGAATGTATAACCCGAACATTGTTTGTAAAGCCTACAGTGTGTTTTTTTATTACATAACACTTTTTATACAGTGTCTCTTGTCTTAACTACGATACCGGAGTCTGAGTTGTCAGCTTGGTCCCTTAAAAGTTTCTAGTTACAGACACAATCATACTGTGATTTTATTTTTAATATGGATATGCTATCAAACTGTGACACACTTATAACTCACTGGTCCTGCATCAGGAGAAGGGGTGGGGAAGCTGTATTTGATACAGTTTGTATCTGAATAATCTGTATGGTTTATACAGTTTGTGTTGTTCAGAGATGTCTAAAGTTTGATCTTTGTTTTTTTAAAGATTAAAAAGCACTTGCCCCACTGTAAATACACAGCATGTAAAATTTATAGAGTGTATAAATGGCAGCGAACTGAGCACACGTGTCTGACTCTTCACTGCTGTCCTCCCCATCTGCTTACAGACACACCTCACGGCTTCCTCCCGTCGCCTCCGCTTTCTTAGAGCCACCGAGTGCGGCTGCAGACTCCGGCCCAGCCCGGCCCGGAGGCGCAGACCTGACGGCGAGCGGTCGCCGGGCCGCCGCCCGGCGCACAGACCCGGGTCTTCAGATGGCCTCGTGGGAGCAGTGCGTTTGGTTTATTCAGTCAGCACAGTATTTGCAGTCGGACAGCCACACACCCTCCAATTTTACTGTTTACAACAAAATAGCGATATAGGGTATTTTTTCATGCAAGTTGTGGAAGTATATACACTGAATAAACACTCCAGAAATCAATATATATGTACATTATTTACACATTAACTGTATTTACTGTAAATAGAAATGTCTCTAAGAAAAAATAAGAAAACGAGATCACTTGTGGCTTCTGGTCTACAACAGACCTAACCTTTCAGCAGAGCACATCTGTGTAGACATAGGCATCTTCACTTTGAAAATACGCATTGCTTCACAGGAAGCATTGAATGCTGCTGTGTCTGTACATAGCTTGGTACCACGTTAAACTGCTCAAAAACGTTCCGTGACCTTGAAGACTCCTGTCTGGGTCCAGGGCCGTCCAGCTGAGCCTCACCTGCTGACCAAGGCGGGCGGGCTGTGGAAGCCGCTGCGTCCACCCAGCGCCCTCACCACTTCCTGCCCTCTCTCGGGAGGACAGCGTGTCTTTGGCCAGAATCAGGATGATAATTCGGCACAGGCACCAGGCCTGCCTGAGGGCTGGGTGGGGCAGTGGCCGCCTGACTTCGAGGTTAATACTGTTACCGTGAGACCTGGGGCTCAGTGATTTCCTGTAACACTCGGACGGCAAGGTGTGTAGGTTCTAAGCACCACGACTCTCTGCCTCGCTCCTGGGAAAGGGCCCTCGAGCGAGTCTCGTCACGTCACGAGCAATCAGGGGAGCACTCTCGTTGAGTGCTTCTGAGTTCACTCCTCCCAGCCCCACTCCGAGGCCAAACCCAGGACACAGAAAAGCCCTGTAGCCTCAGGGGCCTCCCTGGGTCAAAGGACAGAATATCCTGGTGTGATACTGATCTCTCCGCTTGCGGGCCGGCCTGGGGGCTGCGCTGCTGGACAGGGCTTGGCAGGTGGTCCAGGCAGCCCCAGTCTTCACGGCAGACGAGCCCAGAGCCCTGCGTGTGCCAGTCGGGCATCTCCGGGATGACATGTCTTCTCACAAACTAAACTTCCGAATCTGCGGTATCGGTACAATAGCAAAACCCGGGAGCCTGGGAATAAGCTGTCAAAGCCAGTTTGACGCAAGCTGGAGAGTCAAGGGCTCAGACCCTCCGCAGACGAGTGTGACTTAAAGCCACGTCCAGCCCAGCTGCACTGAGGCCCAGGGCCCTCGGCCGTCCAGTCCTAGCAAGGCCGCTCGTGGGGCAGCGACTCCTGCTGCTGGAGCCTCCACACAAGTGCAGAGGTTGGTCCGAAGGGTTCCTCCTTGGACTTGGACGTAACTCAGAGGTGTCAGTTCCGGGTGTGCGTGTGCAGACGGGGCGGCGAGAGGCTTCTGTGGGGTGAGGGGCCCACGGCCAGAAGAGCCCCCACGGCGGACACACAGCACCCAACAAAAAAGTTGTGTGTCACGAGCCTGTCCTGAAGGGCCCAGGGCCGCCAGCCCTGTCCACCTGTGTGTCTCAGTCCAGCTGGGGACGTGAGGGGACCCGCAGACGTCCTGCGGACGGCAGCCTGAGCCTCTGGCCGTGGGCCCGCACCAGCCCACCGCACCACTGGCGCGCGCTGGGGGCCTGCACTAGTAGTTACAGAAGACCCCGGGGGCCACACGTCACCCCCGCAGCGAGGCTCTCCCTGTGCACGGTGGGAGAGTGGGTCTCGGAAAGAATGGGGTAAGATGCTGTCTACTTACATGCGCACTCGTCACACTGACAGATCTGGTCAGTTAGCAGACCGGTGACGGGAGCGTCCGTTTTGCCCCCAGGTTCTGAACAGTGAAAACAAGGGCCCGTGGCCGGAGCCCCGCGTCCCGCTGAGCACGTGCTTGTGGGCGTCGGAACGGTCAGGTGGTGGCCTCACACGGGTCCACACAGACGTCTGCTGGGGTGCAGCACTCACGGGACACCCCAAACCGTGAATGCCAGTGATTGGCCTTTCTATCCAGAATCTGTGGGGCCACCCAGTCTGAGTGGAGGCGGCCCCGGGAGGGACGAGGCCCCCCCAGAGCAGCAGCACTTGGAGCGTGCCCTGCGGGGCCCGAGCCCCACCCAGGTGAGCGCCCGCCCCGGCGCCCACCCCCTGGCGGCGGCATATATGGTGTCTACATAATGTGTTTTCAGTGCACGGTAAATACTTGTGTCAGGAGTTACATTTATAGCTGCCATTCTAAAAATACTATTAGAAAGTATCTCTCATTATAATTTCAAAATAGAAAAAGGCATATAAAAGCTATAATCCTATACATCTGAGGAAAACTCTGAACAGAAGTGGTAGCTTTTCCTTTGCGGTTCCCATGTGGAACAGCGGCCCCCAGAACAATGAAGATCCCCAATGAGCACGTGTGGCAATGGCGTGGCCGGGTCTGTGGCCCGGCCCGTGGCCCGAGTCCGCCGTACCCTCTGTCACGGCCGATCCTCCAGGCCACCGAGCGGGGAGGCTCGGCGGGGGGAGCCACAGACTGTGCACAAAGGCTTCGGAGAACCAGGGGGCCCTCGAGGCTGCCAGGGCGAGAGCAGAAGCCCCGCCTCCTGGGACACCTTCTGGAAAAAGCCACGTGGGGTCCGGGGAGGCCTTGCCGTCACTTTGTGGTGGGGTGTGGCGGTTACTTTTTACCTGTTCAGGCGGGGAAGCTACTTTTTATTGGCGATCCTCCTTTTCCGTGTGGCCAGCATGTCATAGAAGGGGTCCCTACTGATGCTTGCTCTGGGGGAAAACAAACAACTCGGTTAGGAGGCCTCCCCCCGGCACCCCGCAGGCCCTCTGACCAGAGGACGGGTGTGCCCTCTGCAGGGGGCAGGGCCACCTTCCTGGGAGTCTGGAGACGGGCCAGCTCCTGCACGCACGGGCAGCACACGCAACACATGTGCCCGCACGTGCACTCTCCCCAGCTTCACGTGTGTCAGCCCTGACGTTCCTGCCTTGCAATTCATACCACAAGCACCCTGCTTCCACTTCATCGCCAAGGCTGGAAGCCACGGTAAACAAGTGCCGGCGCCCGACCCGGGCCAGGCCGCCCCGCAGCGCCTCCGGGTTTTGCAGGCCTCCAGTGAGGCAGACAGGTGACTGCACAGGCCACCTGCTTTCTCCTTCTGTGCTTTCAACCCACGCTCTTGTCAGAGTTTTAAATTCATCCATAAAGAGTGAGCTCTCAAAGCCCTGGGCTCCCACCCTCTGCCCCGATCCATGCCCTGCCTGGGGCACTCGGTTGGAGCGCCTCCCGAAATGGAAAGGCTGCGGGCTGGACCCTGCAAGCATCAACCAGCGATGCATCAACGCGGGGACCCAGTGCTTCTCTCTCCCCGCTTCCTGTCTCTTCTCAAAACTGAAGGGCACCCTGGCATGCGCACACTGCCCCCACCGCCCCGCCAGTGGGCACGGCCCCTGGTGGACTCTCTAATCTCCCGGTCTTTTAAGTAATTAAGCGGCATCTCTTCAAAGTTTCCTGGTGGTGACTGCTGAAGGGTGTCCAGCGATCCCAGTAAGAATCACATGGTCATTGTCAATGCCGATGACAGACGGCCTGGGACAGGCTCGACGCCCAGGTGAGGGTCTGGGCCCCGGGGCGGCCCCCTGCCCCGCCCGCCCCCGCACCTGATGGACTTCATCCACTCCTCCTTCTCCTCGGGGCTGGGCGCTGAGATGCGGTACACCACGTGGTTGCCCTCCACCACTCGGCCGTCCGCCTCCGTCTTGCAGGCTTTGATGACCTGCCCTTTGTGACTCGGGTTATAGAGCTCGAAACAGTTCTGGTGGGGACAGAGGGACAGTCAGCGAGGGGAGGTTCTGACACTGCGTCCCCGCTCGCCCCAGGGCTGTGGGAAGGACCCCGCGGACAGAAGAGAGGCGGCTCACAGGCTTCCGAGGGTCCTCCACCTCCCTGATGCTGAGGTTCTCCAGCGGGATGATCCCCCGGGGCTCCTTGTCCTGCGGGAGGGAGAGCGCACGCCGGTCTCACACGAGGCACGACCGAAGGTCCCTCGGACTTGGAGGGGCGGTGGGCAGCCCGCCCCGCACTTACCGTGGTGTACTCGAAGTAGTAGAGGCAGTTGTCGGTCAGGATGAACCACCGCCGCTTCCAGGTCTTCACACGCCCACCTGGAAGCAGAAGGACCTCGTGAGGCCAGCAGGAGCCACGCTTGCTTTTAAGTTTCCTTCCTTGTGAAGATGCTCGACTGTCTTAACACTCAACCACGTGCTGGACGAGCTGCGTGGCCCGGGCCACTCGGACTCTCGGGCCCATTCTCGAGGGCTCTGCTCGCACACACGCACCCCCTCAGGCCTGTACCTCGCCCTCACGGCCACCCGGGGCGCCCAGACGGCTCAACTGCTCTCCAAGTGCCTCCTGGAAAAGGCAGTCGTGATGAATGGGCTTCATTTCCCCAGGTGGAAATGGCAACTGGGGAAGTGGGTGCCGCCCGGCTGTCCAGGACTTAATCCTGTTAACGCCAGGGCCCTGATCACATTACCGAGGGCTCTGGGCAGCCCCGGGGTTCATCGAGATGAATTACGCCCGGGCCCGGGGAGATGAGATTGAATTCACCTCCTAACAGGGTCTGGGACACACATGTTGCACACACACGTCACACACACACACACGCACAGCTCTTCTGTGTCTTCCCCTTCCGCCACGGAAGAGAAGCGTGTCTTCACCCTTAGATATTCCGTCTTGACCCTTAGACAACAAAGTGGCCTCAAATTCTCGCCCCTGCTTCTGATGGAGCACAAAGCAATTTAGACAAAAGCACGCACACGTGGTCACCGACGGGACACTTGGGCACGGACAGGAAGTGGCCAAAGTGACAACGGTGACACTGGGTGGGGAGCTGGCCCACTTTTCTCCGCTACACACGTATGCAGGTGAGTGCCACTGGGGCCGAGGGGCACAGATGCCACCCCTGCACGGCCCCCAGGTCACCCCAGCACTGAGACGTGAGGGCTCCCGTCCTCTGTTGTTCGCAGAGCTCAGGTGGGCGAGGCCCGCAGCTGTGGGGAGGGAGGGAGGGAGCCGCAACGGCTGGAATTTGGTGCCACGGGACAGTCCCCTGGGGACCCCTCAGAGCTGCCTCGCTGAGCAGAGGTCTGTCTCCTCTTCGGAGGCCAGGTGTGCTGGGTGCTGGGGAGGGAGCCTGGGCCACCCTGTGGAGGAAGGTCCGGCTGGGTCCTCCCTTCCCCCTGGCAGACTCCCCCCATCCCTGGTCCCCGTCCAAAGGGTCTGACCACACGCCTGCCCAAGATTCCGGCCATACCCTGCAAGGCCCTCAGACCTCAGCCCACCCCCGGCTCACAGATTCTGCCCTTTGATCGAGCTGCCCCTCGGCCTGGAGCCATACGCCATCATCCCCCCACGGTCTCTCTGACCTTGGGCTGGGCCCCCGCTCCCCAAACCCCTGCACGCAGCCTCACGGGGCCACTTTCTGCACCCCAGAGACAGGATGAGGCCTCTCGGCCCCCCTAGAGCACAGAAGGAGCAGGCCCTGGGCACCGGCAGCCCCGCTCTCCGCCGGAGCTTCGTTCGGCCATTTCCCCTGTCCAGCCTCACACGGAGGGGTCCTGGGAGACCCAAAGTCCTCTGGTGACACAGGACAGTGGCGCCAGGCGCCAGGCACCAGGCACGTCCCTGCACCCCAAGTGCTGTGAAGGCCGGCCCTGGGCCAGGCTGCTGCCCCTGGCCCCCTGCCGCCCACTGCCGTGGGCCAAACAGCAGCCAGGAGTGTTTTCTGAAAGAAATAAACTGATCCTGTCTCTTGGTGTCCAAGGCCCCAAACCCTCCCCAAGGCCTCCCAGGCCCCTCGTTCCAGCCCCCAGACTGGCTGGGACCTCAGGGTTCCTCCCAGAGCCCCACCAGCCAGTGCTCAGAGAATCGTCCCAGAACCCCTGTGCTGTCTGTGCGGCATCTGTCCGTCTGTCCTGTGCCAGCCCTTCTCCACGCTCCTGTCACTGGATCACCAACTGGGTGGCCATTGTGGGTCCCGCTCCCACCCAGGACAGGTCCCTGCTCGTCATGGGCCCTGTGGTGCCAGCTGCTGGGGGAAGGCAGGTGGGCCCCAAAGGCCTCTTGGTTCCTCACACGGGGCTCCTGGCTGTTGCTCCTGAGTTCTGTGCGTGTCTGGGAGGAGCCCTGTCCCTGGCCTGGTTTCAAGGCCAAGGGAGCTGGCGGCTGCCACCATCCCATCTGAGGTGTGTCGTCTGGGTGGGCCCCACAGCCCAGCCCTGCCCCGGGCAACCTCAGCAGGGCGCCAGGCATCACGCCCTTGGAGGGGCCGCCAGCAGACCCAGGCCCCGCTCACGCGGGTTCTGAGCTGCAGGAGGCGGGCCACACGCACCACTCAGAGCCGCAGGGAGGGGGCTGTCCTGCCCGCACCCCCCAAACACACACGCAGACACTGCACAGCACGTGTGCATACCCGCGCACCGTGTCCTTTGCCTGCACAGCTCAACTCTGACCCAAGTTCCTGTGTTTTTAACAACTGCTTTCTTTTCAAAACTTGGTGACGGTAAGGCATGAACTTGACAATCGTGAAGCGGTGCCCAGACGCTGCTGTGTTCTGCCAAAGCGTCCAGGCCAGCGAAAGGCCACCTGCTCTCAGACTGGACCTAGAACAAGGCACAGCTCAGTAGGGTCCTTCTTGTCCTGCCCCATCTTGGCTGCCTTGGGCCGCGCCTCTGTGTCCAGGCCGTGGGTGCCGGGGCCAACCTGGTGCATCTCCAACACCAGCTTGCAGGTGACTGACCGTCTCCTTGGCCCTCAGAGAGTGACACGTACCAGCCGCCCGTCTCCAGTGGCCAGGCCAGTGCCAACATTGTTGGCCCGTGGGCAGGAGCCTCTCTGGGCACCAGGTGAGGCACCAGGTGAGCCCGCCAGCGCTGGCGGGCCTGCTCTCCAGGCGGGAACAGCTCTCAGCAAAGAGCAGGCATGGGGGCTGCTGGGGCTGTCAGGGACGGGAGCTCTCAGCTGTCACCTGGTGGGTAGGCTCGAGGACCAAATACCGCCACCATAACTAGCTTCGTGGCTTCTAACCAGAACACCAGGGCTGCGACTTCCCTCCAGAGACACGTGCATGTGGCTGTGGGAGCGTGGAGGGGGCAGACCCCAGGCCCCCGGTCACCCCTGTGCTGAGGCCACGTCCAGCCACCGCATCAGGCCCCCTGCGCCCTGCTCAGCCGCCGGCAGCTCCCCACACTGCTCTGCGCATTGGTGTCCTGGCCGCTCGTCTGCTCAACTAAGGAACAGGTGGGAAGACAAGCCCTGTGGGCCCCAGACCACACCAGCCGCCGGGAGCCTGCGCTGTCACGGCCCTCGAGGGGCACTGGCCAGCACTGCAGGGACACAAGAGCCCACAGGCAGGTCCTGGTGTTTTGGCTGCATCCCTCCTCCCAGCCCCCCAGGGCCCGGGTCTGATGGGATCGCAGAGGCTGGTGCACCCTGAAGGCCGCTCAGGCATCTGGGTGCGAAGGCTATGCTCCTGGGTTCTTGGGCAAAGTCCCGGAACTCTCCAGACCTGGGCGGGGCCTGAGAAGAGTCGGAGTGAGGCCCCGAGCCCGAAGCGCGGACCTGCAGCCGGCTCCCACGCCTGCCGTGCCCACGCCAGGGACTCCGCCTCCCTGGATTAAGAACCAAACCACCAGAAACCTCGTCAGCCTCGCGTCTCGCCATCTGTTCTCGGAGGGCCTGGAGGGCGCAGGGCCGTCACAACTCATAGGCTCCAATGTCACCATCAGGCAGAAACCCCAACCCACCCCCCCAGACAAAAACCCTACCGACTCCCAAGATTGCACAGAACACATAAAAGCCACCCTGCTTCTTTGTCAATGGCTAGAAAACCTTTCCAATGTTCTGCGCTCTTTCCACGGTGGTGCAAGCATGTGCGGCCGAGGGGTCAGTGTGAGGGTGGCGAGACGGCGGGGGTGGGGCTGCTCAGGCCCGGGGAGGAGGGGCAGGCTCGGTCCCACCCGGCAACGCCACGTGCCAGGTGAGAACGGCTGTGCTCCGGCCACTCCTGCCCAGCCCAGGGTGTGACTGTCACATTCACCAGCAAGTCCAAAGCCACATGCTTCGGATGAACGGCAGCCACAAATCAGAGCTTCACACACACTGAGGGGGAGAGACCCAGAGGGAGGGGACCGCTGGGGGAGGGAGGGGGCCGCTGGGGCTGTACCTCCTACTGCAGAACGGGTGGGGACCGCCCGTCACAGAACAGAAAGGTGGGGGCCACGGGCAGAAGGACAACGAGACGGCACATGGAAACCACTCATGGAGCCCCAGCCCCACCAAACACGGGGCGGAACGCGGTTCTTGGAGACGGTGTTCTGAGACGCCGGTGCGGTCCGGCCATCATTGTCTGCCATGGGCATGGACAGACGGCCTCCTCCAGAGGCTGTGACTCGAAGCAGCAGTCAAGTCTGGAGCCTGCAGCCGGCCGAGTGTGGCCTTTTCCTAACGACCTTGTTTTTAATGGTCTGCCTTTGCTCGGGTCCTCACTAGCAGAGCTCGGAAGGCACAAGATGGGAGTGGCTTTGGGGCGCTGCGGGGCCTGGAGCCCAGTCCCGCCCACCCGCTGCTCACCCAGCTTCAGGAGCCAGCCCTCGCGGTCGGGGTTGAAGAACGTGTGTGTCAGGTCGTTGCCGTCGTCCTCCGGGATCTTGAAAGGCTCATTCTTGATGCTCTCGTACAAGTTCTGCCAGGACCACAACAGCAAGTGCTTCAGTGGGGGAGGGCCCGGTCTTTCCCGGGGGGCCCACACGTGGGTGGGTGGGGACTGGAATCAGCACCAAGTGTGGCAGGGCAGCGCGGCAAGGGACACCGGAAAGACGCATTCAGATCAGAGCACTGGCCCTGCCCACGCTCGCAGCCCAGGATCACGGCCAAGCGCAGGGACCGAAGGGGGGGAGGCGGAAGGGGCGGGGCCGCCGGAAGGGGCGGGGCCACAGCTCACCCTCAGCAGCTCCTCCGGTAGGTCCCTGCCCTCGTTGATGCCCCGGTTCATGGTGACGAAGCGCTCGGCGGTGGGCTTGTCCCGCACGTTGTGGTTGTGCAGGCTGGTGTTAAGCATGATGATGGCGAAGGACAGCACGTAGCACGTGTCTGAAAGAAGCCACAAGGCAGTGGAGGGGCTCAGCCTCTGGGGAACGAAGGGCCGGTCTGGCTCCCATGTCGGAGGCGACCTGAGCCCGGCAGGGCGGGCCTGGCAGGCCACAGGCAGAGCCGTCCGGCTGTGACATGGGTGGGGCTGCACCCCGTCACTGACCTGTGGACTGGAAGACCCCAGGGTTGCACAGGCAGTAGCGGGAAGCGAACGCCTCCATCATGCGGTCGATCTTCTGGGCCTCGCCTGGAAGCCTGAAGCTCCACAGGAACTGCCTGGGGAGACACGAACCCCAGCGAGTGGCCGTCAGCGTCCAGGGCCCTGGCTTCACCCCGGGGCCCAGGACGCCGGGTGCACACGGCAGGTGTGCCATGGGTGCAGGTGGCTCGAAGTGGCCTGCACTCCAGGCCACAGCTGGCTAGAGACCCTCCGATCCCACAAAGCTCCTTCCACTCGGCCAGGGGACATGACAGGTGACACAGAGATGACAGGCAGCTGCCTGCCCTCAGCCGTGTGCAGGAATGATTCAGAGCCTGTGGCTCGGGCCAGAGACCGAACAGCCGAGAGAAATGGAACCTCGGCCACGGTGACCACATCCCCAGACTTGCCTGGCCGGCCCCTCTCTGTGAGGCCCAGAATCTGGCCGCAGCATCCAGAGCGGGCAGCGCTGCTCGGCCCGGGGAGCTGCTGAGCAGAGGGCAAGACTCAGGCAGCGGCAGCCCCGCCCGAGGGAGGAAAGCCGGCACACAGCCACCAAGTCTTATTTAAAATGGAAGTCGGCAAAGGACCTGTGAACGGCACAGCACAGGCACGGCCCCCAGAGAGGCCACTCGGAGGGAGGGAGGGAGGGGCACCGGCATCTGCAGGGACCTGGGCGGCCCTTCAGAGTTACAGGGCGTGGGTTTCTAGCCACTTCCGCCCGGGCACCAGACCCCCGCTGCCTTGTCCCCCATGACCTCATCTGACAAGACACCCACCTTAAGGCCTGGACCAGGTTGAGATCAGCAAACTCGTGCAGTTCGACAAAAGCCTGAAGAACCTTAATGTTAAATTCGTCCCTGAAAAGAGAGGAAGAAGCTGCCTTCCAGCCACTGCAGACGATTTCACGCCTTTTAAGACACACGTCTCCTCAAGCTCGTTTCTATGTTCCCAGTCGTGTGACTGAAGGTCCAGGCTCCCCCTGCACATGTGGTTTTAGCCTTAGTGCCAAGGGGAGGGGACTGACGTGACATCACAACTGGTGGGAGTGAGGATGGGGAGGTCGCCATCTGATCCCAAACACGTGCAGGACCAGAAGGCCACTCCCTCCCCGCCAGGGGCTTGGAGCCCATTCTCTCTCCAGCATCGAAACCACTGGGAAGGCCCTGGCTGGGCGGTTCAGCAGGTTGGAGCGGCGTCCCGTGTACCGAAAGGTTGCGGGTTTGGTTCCTGGTAGGGGAGCGTGTGGGAGGCAACCACAATGTTTCTTTCTCACACCGATATTTGTTCTCCCTCCCCCTACTTCCTCCTCCTCTAGGATCAATGAACGTGTCCTCGGGGTCCCACGGAACAGGGATGCTGAAGTTCAGAGGGGAAGCACCCCCCGGGCCGGCCCAGGGTGGTGGCGCGTCCCGCCGGCTCACCGCTCGCCCAGGTAGTCCCCGATGACGGTCTTGTTGAGGCCCTCCCCTTTGTACAGGAACTGGGCCACGTCCTCCGGGGAGCTCTGCAGCAGGTCGTTCTCGATGAGGAACTGGATTCCCTGGGCGGAAGGGAAGCAAGGCAGCGCCGCTTAGGACGGTCGCTTAGGACGGTCACCGGGGCTCGAGCTCCAAGCACAGAGAGACGGGGGCACTGGCTCGGGCACGGCCAACACCGCCCGGCCCCGGGGCGCGCCGGCCTGGTGAAGGGAGGCACACGCATCCTCCCCGGCCATTTGACAGGTGCAAAGACGAGCCATTTTCAGTGGCATTAGCGATTACAAAATCACAGCAACACCCCATTTCCCAAGCTCAGGGGAACGGCATGTTTTGCCTCTGAGGGGACACGGCAGCCATGATGGGCTAGCCCACGTCCCTCGCTGCTCTTCACTCCCAAGACACCGTCCCAGCCTCCTGTGACACAGTTCTCGTCACACAGACAGACAAGCAGTCTGCAGGGAGGACCGAAAGCGCCGCTGGCTTCCTGATACCGGGGACCTGTGAGCGGACACTGCCCCTTCCTGCTGCACAAGGACCTAATGGCTATGCTAGGAAGGACAGGCCTGGACCCACCTGGGAGCCACTGGGTCCCCTGCGGCCACCCTCCCTGTGTGAGAGGCCAACAGCCCTCGGGCAGCTCCCTATCCCCAGATTTACTGTTGCCTGGGGCTGAACCTGTCTACTGACCGCTGTGCCCCTGAGCCATACTCAAAGCCCAGCCCCCCAGGAAGGGCCCCTGGGGCCCGGCAGAGCCCCCACCCCCAACCGAAAGGCTGCCCGGGGATGTCCTGATGCAGCGGGATGGACCAGTCTCCTGAGGAGTGCTGATCACTGCGAGCATTGGCCTCTGACGCGGCCCCGAGCTGGTTTCAGAGCTGGTTTCAGAGCTCGTGAGGGACAGGAGTGGCGGGGGAGGAGTGGGTGCTGCCCCCGTCTGCCTGTCTGCCCAGATTCGGAGAGAATCTTCCAGCTGAAACTGAGTGAGTGCCCGAGAGACCGACACTCCCTCACCCCCCATGACCCACCACCAGAGGGTCCTTCTACTGTTTTTGTTTTTTTAAGTACACGGATGCTTACAGCATCCTTATTTAGAACTTCTAAAGCCGGAAACAAGCCAACGGTCAGTGAACGGGAGGACAGACAAGCACATCCTGGGACAGCCCCACCACCATGGAGACCACACAGCAAAAGACGGGACAGACACTCGGCAACTTCGGCGACCCCGACCGCCGAGATGCGCAGTGACCGGACTCGGTGTCTTTTAATTCCATTCCCGTGCAGTTTCAAAGCAACGCCGACCTGGGGTGGAGAGTTCATTCCCTAGGAGGCGCCGCCAGAAAGGCGCACCTGTCCTGCACCCTTGGCGTGGCGGTGGCTCGGAGAGGGTCCTGCCTCCCCCTCCAGGGGTCTGCGGAGTCACCAGGAAAGCTCTGTGGTCACGAGGCCCCGGCCACGCCATCGGCCTGTGCTCCCCAGAAACAAACGGCTGGGGGACGAGGCTTTCGTGACTTTCTCCAGACGCTCCCAACACACCAGGCAGCTCTTGGACAGTGTTACGAAACCACCTCCAAGGGTTTGAGGAAGGAAAACAGGCCCGAACAAGGTCTCCTGTGCTCAAAGGTTACATTTGGACGGCAGAGGAGACCCCAAGCGAAGCTCCAGGTCCCTCTGCAAGAGTCCGAGGCCCTGGTCACGGAAAAAGAAGCCACTGGGTGACACCGGCCTGGGACTGGAGGAGAACACGGGGCCACAAGCCAGAGGCCAGTGAGCAGCTTGAAAGGAGAAAGGGGGCTGCATCTACTTCATTTCCCAGGACCTTTGCACAGCCTCCTGTTTTGCGACCATGGACAAAGAGCGTCCTATCACGTGGCTCTGGTAATATTTATAAAATATTAAAACCTCCTGCTTGTAATGTCCCCTTTTATTGCTTCTGCTTGGCCTGGCTCCTCCCACATTAGATGTGTCGGTGCGTCTCGTGCCTGGTGCCCTTGCCCACGCCTGTCGGTGGTCACCCTCGTGTTGAAGGTTCCCCGGAGTGTCTGCCTCCAGGGGTCCGGCCGAGGGGCAGGTGGGCAGCCAGGTGGGCAGGCAGGAGCTGCCCTCTGCATGGGCGTTTCTCCTCCCCCCTCCCCCTCCCCCTCCCCCTCCCCAGCACTGCAGCCCAGAGGGGGATGACCTGTTTGCATGAGCTCGGTGCCCCTCCACTTCAGCCACCTGGGGGCACACACCACTGCTTGCTGGGCTCAACTCGGGACGGGGGGTGGGGGGGGTCACACAAACTAGAACGGCCTCTGCTGACCGTGCACCCACACCCGCGCCTCTGGGTGCACCGGCCACAGGTTGTCACAGACTCGTGTGTCTTCAAAGGCACGTCTGGGAAAGCGGGCCTACGAAGAAGGGGCAGCTCTGCAGTGCTCCCGGCCTCCCTGATCTCACCGGTCTGTCCCCTCTTCCCCCATAAACCCCGTGATGCCTCTGTGTCCAAGGCACCTGAACATGCCGCACGAAGCTCCAAACGAAGGAAGAAAGGCCTTCTGGTCCAGGGACCAGCCAACAAACACATTCACTTCACCCCACTCATTAGCGGCCCTTTTCTTGATAAAAATTTAAAACCGACTCTGTGTTTTTCAGAGGCAGCAGGACCAAAGTTATCAAAAGGGAGAAGGCCATGAAAATCGGTCCATCAGCAGCATCTCGCAGGCCAGACACCGGACGCATCCCCTCACCTTTTTGGGGTCCATGTTGAACTTCTTCCTCCCCATGGCTATGTGCTTGTTCCTCTGCGAGGTTTTGCTGTGCGTGGAGACAAGGAGGGCGCTGTCACCGGACACGGCACACGGCCCGCAGCCCCATGGCCAGTCTTGAAGAAGAGCACACACTCCCAGGGCCACCCCCTCCACACCCGACTGCGGTGGCCGCAGCCCTGGTGAGGTGACGGGGCCCCTTCCTGCATCTGGTACCTCCTCCGGGCAAAGCTAATAGTGGGGGCGGCAGCTTAAGACATGCACAGCTCCTTGCTGCACAGACGGTCACCTGTGCAAGGGGCCGTGCTGCTCCCTGAGCCGAGATGAGCCGGAGAAAGCTGGGACGGGGCCCCCACGGCTCCCACGGCTCTGCACAGGCCCCCCCCGAAACACCCTGCTGTAGCCGGGTTTACCTCTCCTCCACAGAAGTCAGGTTGTCGATCTCAGTCATCACTTCGGCAATCTCATACTTCAGTCTCTGTGGAAAGAGGAGAGAGGATGCGGAGGTAAGGCGGCGGGGGGCCCTGCGCTTCCTCCACCTGACGCAGAGAAACTGCCCGGGGCTGCTCCCCGGCATCTCGCCTGGACGCCACGGGTCTGGACAGACCTACACCTGCAGATTCAGAGGGAGCCTCCTCGTCAGCGCCGCCCTGGCGCAGGACAAAGAAATGTTACGACTGTCCCCCCTCACCGGGGCACCGGAGGCGTCCACGAGGCGGGTCCCTGAGTATGTTGTGTGTGAAATCGGGAAGGGACCCCGGGCGGACGTCTCGGGGGCCAGTGATAAAGAAGGTGAGTGCTCGGCACCCTCATGGGGGCCACGAAAAGGCAGCACATGCGCCCACCCGCCTTCGCCTCCAAGGCCTCCTGCGCACGTAGGAGACCAGGGCGGGAGGTGAGGCGTCAGGGCCGTTAGAACAGGGTCCCCCCCGCCCCGCCGACCAGTCTTGGGGTGGCTTCCATCCCTTTGCAGGAGACGAAGCACTGTGGACAGAGCCCAGGAGGTGACCAGAGAGCGAGCCTGTGGCCCTCAGATGCACCCGGAGGCCCGGAAGGAGCAGCCCTCCCGGCCCTCCAACGTCCAAACGGACCACAACCATTAACCTTGAACCGCAGCGTCTGGCAGAAGTAGCGCCCGCTTGAGGGGGGGGTCGGTAGGGGTATCGTATGGATGTCGTGATTTATAGTTTTAATGTGAGCACCTCCCCTAAAATGTCATAGGGCGTGTGCTTGAGGGTGACAGTGTTGTTACGGAACGGCACGCTTATGATTTTGTAAGAAAAGATTTTGTCATAAAACGGGCGTTATTTGTGCCAGCACCCGTATATTCCAGTCCTTCGACCGAGGTTCCTAGTCTGGGTGTCAGGTTTTTCCAAGAACGAGGGGTCACCTTAGAACAAAACGTTCCACGAATTACCATCCAAACACAAAGAAATTTTTATTAGAAACCCTTTTATTTTGTGTGCCAAGAAACTTCAGACTTAAACAGCGGGCTCCGAGAAAGGAGTTATTGTCTGGACAAGGCTTGGTCTCGCAGCCAGTGGCCCGCGAGGCTGCATTTACTCTGGCACAACGGCCGTGGATGCATCTCAAAGCAGAGCCACATGCCTGACATCCCAAGGAGGCCCGGCGGGAAGCAGCAAGTGCGGGTCTCCCGAAGGATTTTGGCAACAACTGCAGACCCTCCGACCCCGAGAAGGCCGTCCCTCCCTTGCGCCTCCTGTGGGACCCCCGCCCAGCCTCTGCGCTCACACAGTGGGAAGCCCAGTGCTCCCTCCACGGCCTGTGCTGCGGCAGCGGACTGCTCGGCCCGGCGGTGGCCCCTGGTGCGCAGCCGGAACCCCAAGGGGGTGCAGACACCAACTCCAAAGACTCCAGAGGCACCGAAGTGGGCCAGCAACCTCCCAGGTGCTGAGGACGGTGCAACACAAAACCGGGTCCCCCCAACAATTTCAGGGACCAACACGCCTGTAGACTGCCACTGTCGTCCAAAAAGGACTGAGGTGACTGCGGTGACGTGTCCCCTGCGGCTGACTGCAGACCTGTGGCATCCTGGAGGCCACCCAGGGTCGCACTGACGGGTGAGCCAGGTCCCTGCTTCACCAGCCCGCGGGCTCTCTCGCTGTCTCAGGGCAGCGCAGACAGACGCGCACTCAATACCGATTTTTTTTCCGTGGCATGAAGGTACTTAAATTTACTCTTTGACCCAAAAGCAAAAACTAAAAGATTTTTTTTTTACCTCGATGTCATCGATAAGTTCCTTTTTCCTTCGGCGGATGTCTAGAAGTTCTTCCCTCTCTTCTAAGGAGAGGTCTTCAGGCACTGAAAGAAAAATACATCAAATTGAACAACCGAACTACCGCCCTGGAGAACTCGGCAATGCCCGGTCGGGTGAAGACAGGCACCGGCAACACGGCACGTGGGCGTTTAACCCTAAGGAACCCTGGCGCGGCGGCAGCGGCGGCGGCGGCGCTGTGTGTGGCAGAAAAACAGCCTACACCCCACCAGTAAGGAATGAGCACATTATGGTATTTACAAAACAGAATCCCGCAGAATTAGGAAGAAAGGCTGAACTCAGTCTCTCAACACAGAGGAACCTCACCAATCAAACAGCTGATAAGAGGCAGTGCAGGACTGCTGCTGTAGGTGGCACCTGTCGCGAGGGTGGGACACTGGGCCTGGGGCTCCGGGACGTGCCAGCAGGTGCGCTTACCCCAGCAGGGCGTAAATGAGCGCGTGAGGGACCAAAACCAAATTCTTGCTCGAAGCTCCTCCTGAAAGGGCTGGGGCAGGCGGAGCTACTGCCAGAGGATGGCAGGGAGTCTCAGTGCAGTTTATGTGGATATTTGCTGATTTTTCTTTTATTGACACAGTTGTTCACAATAGCCCCTCATTAGTGACTGACCTCTGCAGTACTTATCGTTCCTACCAGGTCTATAGTCTCTTCTCTTTGATTACAGTCATTCAATGCTTAAAAATGGGGAGGTCTTTTCCCCCGTTAAATCCGGACTGGCTTTGGGACTTCCTCTGACCAAGAGAACATGGCCCAAGTGATGCTGTTCAAGGGCCAGAACATCTGCTATCCCGGGACCCCAAACCACTGTGCTCTGGAGAAACCCAGGCCAGTGACCTAAGACTGTTGTGAAAGAAACCACCCGCAGCAAGAGTCCCAGACAGCCCAGCTGCTGCAGCCGCCCCCCCACCCAGCTGAGGCCCCAGGCAGGTGAGGGCTGTCCTGGGAGGATTGCAGCCGCCTGGCCCGCTGGCCGACTGCATCAATGCAAGAGGACCACAACGGGAGCAGGCCCTGACCTGCCAGCCAATGCCCACGGCTGCCATAGCAACCTAGGGTTCTTTTATGCCAACCACTTTTCAATACTTTGTTACGTGGTCATCGGTAACTGATACATTTACGATGAACACAGGTGGGAAAAGGGCCAAGGTTTAAAACCTGGACTTAAAGAAACAAGCAACAAAACAGAAATTGCAAGAAGCACCTTTAAACTATAAGAATACGTAACAGTTGAAGGTGAAGCAGTAGCAAGTGAAATACCAGACAGACCTTAGTAAGAGGCAGCTGGTCCCACCACAGTAACAGGGGCACCACAGACTAAGACAGGCACCAGATCATGATGTAACATTCCACTAATTGCACGATTAACAAGTCTGAATTTATGTAGCTAACAAAATGGTCTCGAAATATATAAACCAAAAATCAGCAGAGGTAGATGTTAAAAAAAAAAAAGATTCAGGTTTGACTAACACAGTCGACAAGCTTGAACTAACAGACATACCACGCTTCATCGATTTGAGGTGCACATTCACAACACGCCTGGAATCGCCCGTGACGTACACAGGCCGCTGCCTCCACGCATGGGGACTCGCCTGCCACCGTGCGAGGCGCAACCGGACGGCTGCTCCTGGGTGTGTGTGTCACAAACACGACTCAGAACCACCCACCCCACGAGGCCCCAGGGGCTGGGTGCAGCTTCAGACCTCCACCGCCGCATGCAGGTTCGCTCCAGGCCTCTCAGCTCAGGACCCTGAAGACTCGGACTTTAAGACACACTGCGCTGCCCACGCCCTTGGTGGCACCGAGGACGAAAACGAGCAGAAAAATGCCAACTTTGCAGAGGACAGACCCCAAAGAGCGGGGCTCGGACTGTGAAGAAGGGCGCCACCCACCAACTAATGATGCTCCTACTCTGCTTTTTAAATAAGGGTTATATAATAATCAACGTTGAAATGCATCGAAAGGACTTGTTCAATCAATATAAATAAAAATTCTAAGTGAGAAGAAATGAAGTCTGGTTTCTTTGGCAGCCTTTTCCTTGCAGGTAGAAGGTAAAACAACACTGTATCTTGTCACTGATGGAGCCGGACCCAGTCAGATCCGCAGGCCCAGCAGCCCCACCGCACGCGCTCGGTCTCAGGGCAGCCCGGCCACCAGACGGTCTCCACACACCTTGCAGGGCCGTGGTGGCGGACGCCATGCACCGGCTTTGCTCAGCCCCTGCAGGCACCTGGCTGCACATAAAGGAGAGGCGATTTCTATTTAGTCAGTCAGTCAATTGGCACAATGTTGCGTTGCAAAACCATTTGCAAAACCGTGCAGGCTCCAGATGTACAGCTCAGCAAAGCATCCTCTGCACACGGCATCGTGTCCCCACCTGCCCCCCTCCCCCGCTTTGCCCACCACCACCTCCCCCACCCCACCCCCCTTTTCCCTCAACGTTTCTTGCCCAGCCCCCAACCCCCTCCCCAACAGGTGTCCCTGTTTTGCTTGTTACTTCGGTTTGTTCATTACGTTTCACATGTAAGGGAGATCATAAGGCATTTGTCTGTCTGGCTTATTTCACTCAGCATGAAACTCTCCAGATCCACCCGTGCTGTCTCTCGAAAGCTCGTTCACAGTCGGGCTTCTGAAGACGAAACAGGCTCTGCCCACGCGACGGAACCTCTCCCGGCCTCTGCAGAAAGGCTGCCTCTCGGCTGCTGCCGGGGGAGGGTGCGGTCACTGAGGACTTTCTGGGAGAGGCGCGCACGCTTGTCCAGCTTCTGGGAAGTGGAACCGTGGTAGCAGGGCTTCCTGGTTCAGACTGTGGACTCCACCCCAGCTGGGGGCACACGTGGAACCCTGTGACCCCAGGGGTGGCCTGGGAGGACTTCCTTTAGTGACCGGACTCTGGAGGCCAGGCCAGGCCACTCCTCTTGCTCTCCAGGGCCCCACAGGCGCCCCGACCCTCTGTGCCGCACCCTCTCTTCCTGCCCCACTTGCTCCCCGTACTTTGTGCGCCTGGAGCAGAACTCTTACTGAAATGATCGGTGTCGCAAAGCCCACATTCTCCGTGCCGAGGGCAGATCAGATGAGGAAATCCCCCTTGTTCGGAAGTGCAGGAACACAGTTCTAAGCGAGGCGCAGGTCCAGGGAGACGCACAGTGAGGCAGAAAATGCTGAGAAGGGAATGACGTTGGAAGCACTGCACATCGACACTCACAGGCCGCGGCTAAGGCAGCGACGAGAAAGTCGCAACTCAAAATGCTTCTTTTAGGCTAAGTTGAAAGTGGCAAGCTAAGCACTCGCCTTTAAAATTCTGAAAAATAACTGTTTAAATCCAAAGGAGAATAAAGAATTCACTTTTGAAAGGCAAGAAAGTGCAGCCACTTTGGCGAACTGGCAGTTCCTCAACAAGCCAAGCACGGGGTCTGCGTGTGGGCCGGCGGCAGTTCCCCTCCGTCTGTCCATCCCTCTGTGACAACGGGACCAAACGGGAGCTGGTGCACCGCCGTGCACAGCGGCACTGCTCACAGTCGCCAAAAGGTGGCGACAACCCAGGTGTCCTACAGTGAGTGAGGGCGCGATGAACCGTGTGCGCCGGTGCCGTGGGTCATCAGCCACAGAAACGAGGGAAACCGTGGCACATGCAGCAGCCTGTATGGCTGGTTAAGGGCCCTGCGCCAGGGGTGGGGGCCAGTCTCTAGAGGCCGCACACTGTAGGGTTCATGGACACCGCATCTTAAAACGACAGAAGCACAGAGTGGGAAGCGGACCGGCTGTTGCCTGGGGTTAAGGCAGGCTGGACAGTGACCAGCAGGTGTGACTGTGAGAGGCAGCAGGAGGAAGACGGAGACGCCTGCGGTGACAGAACAGTTCTGTACCTAGACTGCAGGGGCTGTTGATGACGTGGACAGAGAGTGAGATGGCACAGCCCCACACACACACTGTACCCGTGTCACCGACCCGATGTGACAGTGTACCACAGGCACGAGAGATGTGACCACTAAGAGACAGTGGTGACGGGCAGGTGAGACCTCCCCACACTGGCTTTCTAACTCGCTGTGAATTAGCCAACACTTAAAGAAAATTGACATCGCCTAAGGGGGAGACCCTGGGGACTGAGCAGAAGGAAGTGGTACTGCCCCCCATCTCCGCTCGCCCCCAGGAAAATGTGGCTCAAGAGTCAAGGTGGTCCCTCCCGCCTGGGAGCCCACCCCCACGTCTGGGAGGAGGGGGCCGTCGGAGCGCCAATGAAACACCGACCTGGCTTTCAGACACAGCCGTCCAGGACCATCTTCTTCCCTGGGTGACCCGCCGGGCTGCCGCACTCGGACATGGGACACCGGATGGGTACGGGCAGGTGACACCTCACCAGGCTGCACACGCTGTTAGGTGCACCGTCCTGGAAACTCACTTCCGTTAGTGACGTCTCTGCTATGGTTCAAGTTGGAGGTCACCTTCGAAGTTTTAGGTGTTGGTCACGGCAGCACCCTCCATCCAGGTACCAAAAGTTGTACTTGTTCCCTGCAGCCGCTCTAACAAACTCCCACAAACTCGGTGACTTGAAACATACTTATTCTCGTGCGGTTCTGGAGGTCCCGAGTCCCAGGTCGGTTCCACGGGGCCACATCGGAGGCCCAGGGGGGACCCCTTTGCTTCCCTTTGTCACTGGGCACCCTCCCCCAGGCTAAACCGCCCTCCTGATTTCTGTCACCACCTCTGGTCTCATCCGTCCTTGGCCCGTCCTGGTCGTTTCCCACAAATGGGATCACATGTGTGTGGTCTTCGGGAGCTTCTCTAACTTAGCAGGATGTTGTCGAGCACACGTCAGCCCTTACGTTTTGTGGCTGAGTACCGTTCCGTTACTCAGAGAGACCACCCTCTGTCCAGTCGCCCGCGATGGACACCTGGGTTGTCGCCTCCTTTTGGCGACGGTGGACAGTGCTGCCGTTCGAGTTTGCATACCCGCTTCCTGGTGTTGTGCGTAACTACAGCCGCCAAAGCCCTCGCCCCCGCGTGTGACACAAAGACCGGCTGTTCAAGC